ATGTCACGCGAAACATAAGCTTGTTGTGGCTGGAGCTTAGTTTCAGGGTTATGCAAGGCTAAAAAAGCTTCATTTGATTCTGGACAGAAATATGACTGCGTGCTGTCTGTGTCAGCAATACAGTCATGAAATGAACCAAGTCAGGTATATAATAGCTTCTGAATATGGACATTGTTATTTCAAGTTTTGTTCGTCCCAGTTATTGAAGTACAGACTATCGATCTACTTGCAAATTACGAACCCAAATTAACAACAAAACCAAATTCCAACTTAGATACCAAATTTATTCGTAATTCACAAATAGTCGACCAAATGTCGTCCTAACAACAATAATTATAACAATTACAAAACAAACCAATTTTGTAGGTTCCCGGAGCAAAAATACCGAATACCAAACCAACGACAAAGAGGAACCAAAATGTCCGAAATAATGATGTAAACAAACAAGTTCAAAGTTAAGTGAGACAAATACATTCGAAAACACAGTAAATTATTAATATACAATAAAAATATTTTAATCCACCAAATGTCTTCAGTTTTCCTGTAACAGACATTACTTTACAAAATCGTGGACAAAGGTAAATGATCATTAGAAACAGCCAACCGAATAAAACCAGAACTGAATGGTTCATCATTACTCGAGGCAGAATGAAGAGTAGCTTTACAGATCGATTTGATGTGCCCAATTTTGCCACACTTAAAGCATTTGGCATATCGAAATACACATGAATTATGTGCGTAGGATTTATAACAGGGTAAGCACTTACCAAACCTGTGCTCACATCTGTAACCTACTTTCCAATTCTCCGTTTATTCATCTTTGATATTTTCGCTGAAAGATAAACCATTATTGAGCGAACGCGAGCTTAAGCAACCCTGAGCGTAGGTCTCACCAGATCGACTATGCACAGTACCGGAACTTCTCACTGATTAGAGATCAGACTTATTCTCTGCCTCATATATAATACATGTTATTTTAATTCCTTAGATAGAACTCCTAGATTTCTGAATAAATTCCTCCTCTAAATTTGGAATATTTATACCGCTAATCGACCAATCACAAATCTGAATTCCCAATTGGCACTCAAAATTGCACTTATGGAGCAAAGTTTTTCTTTCTCTGTTTACTTTGTCACAACATTTCATGAAACTTTGATCTCTTTCTGGATTCAAAGCTGGCACACTGAAAATGAATACTAGCGATTCCTTGAGTAATTCATATGAAAGAGAAATTAGTTTCTCTGAAAAAGCCAGATACTTTAACAAGTTATAGGCTTGTTTGTCGATCAACGTCAGAAAAAAAGCCATGAATTTATCATATCGAATATATTTTCTAGTCATGCACCAGGTTTCCAACCGCTCATAGCAGTCTTCGAAGTCATCCCCACTTCAAATAATATCTAAATGTCCGACATATGATGATACTGCAATACCGGTATGATGATTAGAAGTATTCGAAATAAGGCGCTTATTAAGAATTCTCGAAATAGTACACTTTAAGTTAGGAGAACTGGATGAGCTCAAATGAACGTATTATACTTCAAATTCGTAATAGGATCATTCTCAAGTACGAGGGAATCATCAGTTAGTACAAATGAAACAGATTATTCTCAAAAATATTCTGCGCAGAGGTTTGTAGAAGCATTAGTTCTTAACCACTCGATGGGGTGGCATGGCCCATCCTTGTAGTTGTGGTTATTCTTGTGTAACGTATCTCCCTAATTGCCTTTAAATATGTCGTTCTATCTCTAGACTAAATGTGTTCTTTAGAAGCGCTAGATATCATATTGCTGATGATCTTGACAAGACTAGTCAGTGTAGGCAGTGATAGAACTTCCACGTAAAAACTTGTGGATTAGAAAGTCACATCACGACAAATCAACCATTTTGGAATTAAGTCTATTATATAGTAGCACTTATGCCATAGTAGACCATAATTCTACTGGTTGATCTCAAACTTATTGGTCCAAAAAACAAGTCTAAAAGTTGATAATAATATTCTGCAAAAATTATTCCTCTGCCTCTCCAGTTCTTTTGATAGAGGTGTAAGGCTGATGGTTTGTCTGTAAAGATTCTGTATAAGTGACAAAGCACTAGGTGTTAAACAGTCTGACCGACATCGTCATGGTATGGAATAGACAACGGATATTGCCCAAATGAACACCACAGACGGAACAATGAGGCCGTTTGGTCATACTGTATACCTCTGTAACATATTCTGTCTTATACAAGCAATTAACTTGATTGGGCTCCATTTTAAAAAGTCTTATATTGTGATTCAGAAAAGCACATATAAGAGAATAATATTGTTTTTCTATTAAATCCTCACCAGGTTTTACTCTAATACACGGCAATATTTATATGCATATACGAAGTCATTAAACCAGTCGAGGCAGTTCATAAGTCAATGACAAAAGTGGTATAGGTTACATAAATATATATAATAAGTGGAAAGTACAAATTGGCATTGTGACGAAAGGTGTACTAGTCGTGATAAGAATAAAAAAAGGCTTGAATCAAATTCCCATGATATGGAATAGATTAATGATTAGAAAAATATAGGCGCTGAAACATCATCCATAAAAATTATAAGGTTACGTAGCAAAAGGTGTCCACGTAATTGGACTATGAAGCGAATATTTAGGAAAAGAAAAAAGTGGGAGGGGGTGAAGAAATAAACAAATGAAGAATGTGGAAAATAGTAATAAATAAAATCATTTATTAAGACCAAGTGAGAGATTAAGGTGCTACAATTTTCCTATGAACACAAAGACTTGAATTTTAGCTCAAGTTCTCATAACTTCTGCTATGTGTAAGAGACGAGATCGAACCCCTAGGGATAACTGGTAGGAATGCAACGAATCACGCCAAATGACTCATTTCTGTCTACTACGTGACCACTATCGATCAAGTGTAATAGAACAGAGCAACGTATTGTCTTGATTATACCCTTTCCTAACCACGAAGAGAAGTGGTCACTAACTCTGGCTCAGTTGTCTGGTAGTGCACTCACTATAGCTTTCTCCGCAGGAGCGGCTGAACTCGTAGATATATAGTTACATTGGACCCGAACAAAATGACCTTGGGAGCCGAGCATAAAATTACTCAAACGACTTATATTCAACAATTTACACGAGGGGAACGTTAATTATGGTGAACGCGGGAAGATGAACTCAGTTAATCGGATGGCATGGCTCAGTCTTGCAGACGTGGTCATTCTTGTGTACCTTATCTCTTTTATTCATATCAAGTATATTGTCCTATCTCCGGTCTAGATGTGCTCGTCATCATATAATGGCGATGATTACAATGGGACGAGTCAGTGAAGACAATAATGTGACTCATACGTAAGATCTTATAGATTAGGTGGTCAAATCGTGATAAATCTGCAATTTTAGTGCTAAGTCTGTCATTAACGAAGTAAATCGTAATTCTATAGATACACATAGATGTGCCGTGACCAGGTAACTTATCCTTTAGTTGAAGAAACATCATAGATCAGGTCGATTACGATGAGTTAAGTTTAGATGCACTAAACGTTCTCTTAGCTACTCAAGTCGCTCTATCCCGTGGCATAACACTAGCTACATCTTCATAGAATTGCAGATTCATAAAGAGGGTTTCTTTTAAAAGATCAAAGTTCATTAAAATTGAAGTATGAAGAGGTCAATTTGATCATTAGAATACACATATATGAAAACGGCTTCAAAAACAAACGAAATATTGGCTTGTTCATGCTATATAAACATAACCACACGGATCGAATGTTAGTAAGAAATGATGATGTCACCAAGTATCAAGCTATTTACAGAATTAAACTTACCAATTTTTAAAACTTCGGCAAACTCTGACTTAATAATGCATACATTGATATAAGTGTTCTGTCAAAGTTAGTTCGTATGTTATTGGTGACTGATATTGGCTCACATTTTGCTGAGGACCCAGTTACTACCTTGTTGTGCAATATATGGTGTAGACATCTTATCTTTGTCCCTATGTAGCTTTGTTCCAATGGGAACGAAGTTATGGATGGATCTTCCCAAACTCTCATACAATGAGCGATTAAAACGCTCGACCCCCTTATTAGTATCTTTCTTATGTTTAAAGGTAGTATTTTCTTTTTATTGGCAATATGAATCTTTAACGATAATTCGCGTGATAACCTGTCTTATCTTTTTGCTGTCTCCTTATCTACTAATTTCTGAGGCCATGGACTCTTAAATCGAATAAATCTACTAAGGGATCTATTTTTTCAAGGAAAAGTTAGATCTTAATTCGAGAGAGGTTGCAACGGTTCAGTGGAAAGAGCAAGATAGAAGATTTGTTACTGAATAGTATTAAGTCATAATTTAAAAGCAACTACGCATTGCAAAGCAGCCGCTGTCAAAGTTTTTCGTGCGTTATGGTCACTTCGCCGAGAGTTCAAATCTTTTGACGGGGAAACGTTTCGAATTTTATATCCCACCTATGTAAGACCACACTTAAAGTACTGTATCCAAGCAGCTAACCCGTGTCTGGTAAAGGATACTTACTCCCTTGAGCGTGTCCAGCGTGTGGGAACGAAATTAGTGAAGGGTATTTCTAGACTCCCTTACGATGAGCGTTTAAAACGACTAAATTTTTCCCCTTGTCGTATCGTAGGACACGAGGTGACCTTATACTGGCATTTCATATCTTTAATTATGATTTGGGTGTTAATATGTCTTATCTTTTTGTTCCCTCCAGCACTAGTAATCTCCGCGGTCATAGCAACAAGGTTCATAAACCAACATCTAATAAACTTAAAGTGGGGTCCCGTTTTTCTCATCGAGTAGTCAATGATTGGAACGCCTTACCCGAACAAGTGGTATCAGCCCCATCAGTGAATAATTTCAAAGAGAAGCAAGATCTTCACTGGAAAGCAGTGTGTCAGGATTAATACAGGTTCATCAACCTACTATCCTTATTACTGAAAACTGAAGACTGGATGTTGAAATAAGTGATTATTGAAGTGGCGGTGTGTCTGCATTTCGCGTTACTATTTCCTGCGGTTATTGCTATTAGTCATTACCTTCTATTTACCTGTATATATTGTGTAACCTTTTGGTGGCTAAAAAACATTTGATTTCTCACGTTTTCGGAATTAATTTGTACCTTGACCGCGCTTTTCGGACGGGAAGTTTAGTCCTAACGTGATTTGCATTTATCAAAATTCCGCTGTGTTCTTACGCAACATAAGTACCATTTCTGACCAAAAGAATCTATCCTTAGCTATACGTCCGGTAGATTACTTTTTTTGATTTTCACCCAATTCAATAGTTAACTGGTTTTAAAACCAGCAATTGCCTCAGCTTACTATTTTTTTTCAGTTTTTCACGAAAAAACTAGTTCAGTTTATCTCATTCGTTTTATCCATTTTTGTCCGTTTTCAGTGTGCTTTTTAGTGTATTTTTTAAGGTCTTACGCTTTTACTAGCATCTACAACACAGTTTACGTCAATACGGTCATGAAAAATTCATGCAAACGACCTGGATTCCGTTTTGCTGTTACATCTGGCATGCAGTGCGACAACTGCAAAGGATGGTTACACGAAGCGTGCACAGATCTCACAGCAACTGCTTACAACAGTCTCAGCAAGTCGGATCATAAGTGGGAATATGTTACGTGCAGGACGGATGCTGTAGTCTTGCTGAGTAATATAAGCTCGCTTGGCTTTTGCCAACTTACGTCACCTGTGGCGAAGGCGAGATATCCGTCTATCAATAAAAGGACGAGTATACTGCGCGGCAGTCCGTTCTGTTTTAATTTACGGCAGCGAAACATGGCCATTAAGAGTAGAGGACACTCGTAAGCTACTAGTATTTGAGCACAGATGCCTTAGAAATATTTGTAGGACTCTAATTTATGAACGAGCCAATCAGAAGCGTTTAAGGAGTTTCAAGGTCACGGCGCTAAGTTCATAAAATAGTTTCACCGAAATATTGCTAGCGTCTGTTGTGATCACCGGGTATGTAATAGTGAGGTTAGACGCAGGGTATTAGGGAATGATGGTAAATCAGTTGACGAGGTTGTGAATCTTCATCGACTGAGATGGTTGGGCCACGTGTTGCGTATGCCTGAACACCGATTACCACGACGTGCAGTGCTAACCGGTGTTGGAGATGGTTGGAAGAAAGTTAGTGCCGGCCAAACCAAAACGGCATCAGTGCTTGAAGTCACTTACTTCTAGTCTGAGACATGTTGGTAGATGCAGACTACTTGGTTGGGGTCCGCGTGACTGTTGTAACCAGTGGTTGGAGACTTGGTGACATGGCTCAGAATCGATCACAATAGTGTCGGTGTATACACTCTCTGTCTTCCCCTAAACTAAGAGATTGGAATCGCTTCATATCTTTCTTTCTACGAACTAATTCTTTCTCCCTGTACTATATCCTTATTGCAATCTTTCTTTTATAAATTATCACCTCTGAATTAACTACTTTTATGAATCCGGTGTCCATTTTGTTGTGTTAATGAGGTATGGCAACTTGGACCGATGCATAAATGTGCCTGGTCCTACGTTGTAGCTGACTAACTGACTGAGTAATATCATTGTCCTACTGACAGGTCTGCAGAGCAAGTGCTCGGCAAACTTGGGAAAAGACAGTCAAAAAAATGGGTAGACAAACAAGAGAGCGCATTGAATACGGGAACAGGGATGTCGACAGGTCTACTAACAACGGAGCATGCAACAGCATTAATGACGACACACTGAAACTCAGCACCATGATTACAAGGACGGTACGCGACTCCCTCAGCAAAGCATGTCTTATCAATAAGCTCAAACGATTGGGTATCAGACCACCTCTAGTCGATTGGCTCACTTCATACCTGAAAAATCGACATTTTAAGGTCAGGGTTAATTTCACTTTATCTCAGGCTATGGAATGTCCTAGTGGGTTCCCTTAGGGCTCAGTACTAGGACCTCTTCTCTCCTTGATATACATAAATGATCATCCTCAACAGGTAACGTCAGACTTGTTACTTTTTGCCGACGACGTGAAACTTTGGAGAGACAGATACGCAACCAAGACGATATACAGGCACTTAAGGGGGGTCTGACTCGATGATAACCGGCTTACTTTAATACTTCAAAGTGTAAAGTAGTCCATCTGCGACATGTTGCAGACTACAGTTATAACTTTGGAAACTCCTCTCTAGTAGTATCCCAAGTCGAAAAAGATTTAGGAGTCCTTGTTCCCTACGATTTAAAGTCTTATGCTAACTGTGACAAAAATGCCTTCCGAGCAAACCTTGCACTGGTATCATTGAAGCGCATTTTTGGCCGGTTGGACGGAAGAACTTTCCATATAATCTTCAATAGTTCTATCTGTCCCCATTTAGAATACGGAAACATAGTATTTCCCCCTCACTCCAAAAGGATAAGGACACTGGAGCGTATCCAACGGCGAGCCACGAAATCAGTTCGAGGACTCAAATTTAAACCTTATGAAGAGTGACTCCATTCACTTAACCTTTACCCATTAGAGCATAGACGTCTTCGAGGTGACCTTCTAGTGGCTTACAGTATCCTTAACATTTCTGGACATCCTCTCAAACACCCACTCAAGCTTAGTTCCAACACTAACCTAAGAGGTAACACCCAGAAACTGGAGACACAACATAGCAGAACGAACTGTAGAAACAACTACTTCTTAAGAGTTGTCAAATGCTGGAATTCGCTGCCGGTCGAGCTAGTCCAAGCGACTTCCCAGGAGTCCTTTAAGGGGCAACTTGATCTATTCTTTAAGACTAAGGATAGTGTCACACTATGATTTACTAATTTCTTTCCTCTTTTATTGTTAACATACCTAGGTTCCTGCCTGGAGGAAGCCTGTTAAGTGAAAGCTTCTTCTATTCCGTCCACAACCATTTGAACCATTTGAATTTGAAAACCATTGAATAAATGTTGGGAATGGTATACATATATGTATAAATACGTGTATGTGTTACCATAATATGACGGTTTACAGATGGTTTAGTTCAAGAGCTTTTTCTGGGTCACCTAATCGATAGAGTTAATGAGGTTTTTGCATGCAAACTCGCTCCCTAGAAGTATCTTCGTATACAATTTCGAAGTTCAGGTAGCTAAGGTTGGGGATAAGAAGTTAATAATGAATCCTCATCTATGCAAACATAGTTTACGTACGTAGACAAATAACCAAATGATTTTGATTGAGATATAGAGGGCCGGTTCCCCAATGTCAGGATTTTAGGGAGACCTTGGGTTTTTTCCTCAAGTCGTGGAAATTATTAATTTTCCACAGTGTCTGGGGAAAATATTGATTAAAACTTAAAATTTTCTCAAACTTCTCGAGGATTTCCTAAAAACAACTTAAAAGTTCGGGGTTTTAGTAGCATTCCCTCTAAAATGTTTTATTTCATCTTAACCTCGAATTTCCCAAAACTGATAAAGCATTAGCCAAGATGGGGAAATTGGGTTGTGTCCTATTTTAGATTGGTTCACGGTTTTACAGTGGAGGAATTAATGTTAATCTGAAATAAACGTACTCACAAAATGTGAAGGTAGTTGCAATGAATTTTCTTCGAAAAATTGGATGTATTGAGAACAATAAATGAAATTCTGGCCTATATCCAATATCTTTGTTGTGAGCCTGTTAACCTTTTGATTTCTTGGGGCTTTCTCGTTGGTGTTTCTGTGCGGTCCCAGGTCTTTGGTAACGTTTAGTGGCAGTGGTCTAGCTATTCAGCTGCACTAATTTGTGTCGTTTTCAATCTTAACTTATCATAAAACATATTTTAATACAGCTGAAATTTGATTACTTCCAAATATTGTTTTTAATACGTAATATGACCAAAACTATCATTATTTTAACGTTTACTCAACATAGATATTCTTAAAATTTTATTTTTTTGTTTTTAGATTGTCGATATCCCGTTGTTAGCTCACTTATTTCACTCTGTTATTAGTTGAAAGTTATCGCACTAATAATCAGTATGACAGTTGTTGAACGAGATAATTTAAGTGGTTGTACGCTGAAAGAAAAGCTGGACTTCTACTATCGTGTTGGTATGTAACTCTCGTTTTGGCCTCGTGATAGTCAATTTAGTCAACTTGAATCTGTGGTATATTATTCTAGATTTCATTTTATTCTAGTTAGTTTACTTCGGCCTCACTTTATATACTTCACTTTGAGCTGGTGGGTAATGTTTTTGGTCATTACCGTTAGTATGATTTATTAGTTTAATATTTAATATCAAAAGTGATACGACTAACCAGAAGAATGGGCCTTTTGTAACAAAATAACACACTCATATCTGAATTATTAACCGGAAAACAACACGAATAAGTGTTAAGAAAGATCAAACAACATCTTCTTTATAGGTCTCTCACTATCCAATGAATTAAGTTTTAACTGCTAAACCTGATATTATCCCGTCATATCATTTGTGTCTTGCAGATTTGGGCTTTACAGTTGCTGATTCGCACACCTGTGTGTATTTTATTTTGTATTTATGCAAGCTATTCAAATGAATTGCACTAGTTTTTGTTTGGATAGGTGTTTTAATGTAATTAGCGGCAATTTACATCACTTATTTTTTTAAAGTTAGATGCATATCCGTTCTTATCAAATACACCATATTTAGTGCATAAAATGAGATTTCTATTATAGCATGCTCATATCTAACATAGTAGATACAAGCACACTGCAAGTTGTACAGGGTTATTTACCTCTAACAATATCTGTTTAGGAATGCTTTCTATGTGTTTGATTGTCTTTACTTTTGGTCGTTTTCGCTGCAACTGGTTATACGTTGTAATGAAAGTCGTTCTTTTACACATTGGGATAGAGACGAAATTAACATGATCAGTACTAAAGTAGTAGGATCAATTATGTCAGCGGTAGTAAAAAGGATCAGGGATACAAAATATGGTTTGAGAACAAATTTGAAAATTATAAGATTTAAAATGATAACAAAACTTAGGACGTAATGGAAAATAGAGTAAATGAATCCACACAATTGAAACTGGTTTTAAGCCACGCTTTTTAAAGATTATATAATCGAGCAAACCTCAACCAGATATTCTGGACCCACCATCTTGATTCAGTCTGTCAGTCAGTGATTTTGCGGACTGATAACTGGTTTTGGTTTGGCTGCTCATGATTTCCCTCCTACGCCAACCAACATTACTCGTCTAAATACGGGGCGGTTGGTCATTTGTAATACAAATCACACCCACCTCAGTTGAGGGTTCACAGTTTTATAAATCAATCTAGTATCTTTGCTTAATACCTTGAATTTAACCTCGAAATTTTTTATTTAATGGTTCCAATATACTTGAGCAATGTTTCGAAGACACTTATGATCAAATGATAATAACATGTGAACGTCCTGTACTTCTAAAGAACGTGTTCCGCAGTCATACAGTGAAGTAAAATAAACCACTACGTGGAGGACATATCGCCTATGATGCAAGTGACAGGAGTCGGCGAAAACCAGTCGAATTTTCCATATTTTAGACAAAATTGGTTGTTTTAGATGCCTCAGAAATTCAATTCTTTTCTGTTTGTCGCAGCCCTTATTAGGAGATTCTCCCTTAACTTTTAAAGATGTGTTCGTATCTTCTCACCCAATTCTAATTTTCTCTATTAATCACACATCTCAAACATTTTTTTGATCATCTCTTACTAGGAAAGTCATCAAATGTTAACTCCATGGTGTTGTAATTTCATGGTAGTTCAAAAGTTCTTTTATACAATATTCGAGGTTTATTTTACGCTCGAATTTATTGAATATTTTCTCGTTCCTTTTTCTGTTGGTAGTAAAAAATCAAATTCTCCGCTTTCAACATCCTATCAGTGGATTATTTCCTCTTATGCCTATGAACACTAAATGTAGATATAGTCATGTACGAGATTCTGTGTACTGTGCCACAGTTGTATGGGCTCTACACCAGTGTTTCGCGTGAGTGGATTTTTAACAAAATCTACTTTAAAAACGTTTTACAATAAATTACTTAATTTTTGAATAAAACGACTGATCAAAATACTACGAAGTGATTATTTTTATATAAGTCTCTTGGAATTTTGATATTTGTCTTGTTTTATTAAAACAACACTCAGATTTGCTATCAGCGTTTTGCATTTGATGTATAGTACATTGAAAATTTAGCAGTGCTGCAAAAAACTACATTAGTGTTTGAGCATCAACACTGCCTGTTTTCGGATTTCACCTATTGTACCAAAGTTAGTTCAATTTAGTTACTTCACTTGTTACGTGTAAAAAACATCATTATTGTATCTAGAAAGGTCGAAATTCAGAAAGTGGTTTACATCGAATGAATAGTGTAGTGTGGTCTATTAGGTAAAGTTATTATTGTTTATTTTTAAACCTAGTCACTACTTTATAACTTCTGTTTTATCAGCATGAATCTTCCACTTCGCAAATACTATTTTTTCCGAGTTAGTTCAAATGATAAAAGAATTGGTTATATCTTTTGAATGCTCATAACTTCCATTCATTTTGAAAGGTGTTTTTTACAATTTGAAATTGTTCCAAAAATTACTAAGATTCGGTGAGACATTAATTGTTTTTTCATAATTTCCTCAATAATTTCCAAATTGCACGAATATTTAAGAAATAGACCTGTTAAGTTTTGACTTTCTAATGTCTAGTTTAATACGTTACTGATAATTTATATATATAATAAACTATTTTTTCATAGACGGATCAATGATGATGAAGGACGTCATTATGAACTTGGTCAAAGTGCTGTCAAGTGTATGCGTAGCATTTTAATGGGTTGGATGCAACAATCTGCGCGGGTATGTATCATTATCATTACTGTTATCATTATTGAGTAAGATGTATTTAGTTTTTAATATTCAGTTTTTCGTTTTTAAATGTTTTTTGTCCTAATGTGATTCATTTAAAATAAAGTAATGGTATACCAATATGTTAATGTGAGGAAGATGATTCAATTTTTTTATGGAGTTTCCTTATAGTAACTTCTAGAAATAATAAAATTGGTAATTAGCTAATATCACTAACTAGTTTTTCAAGAGAGCACGCGAAGTAGTCAGTCAGTGATAACCAACGTAGAATCTGCTACTAATATGCGTTAGCCCAAGTTATCTTACCACACTAACACGAGATGAAATTAACGTAATGAATGGCAAGTGATTTGAAATAATGTCGTGGAAATCATAATGAGGATTAGATATTGAGGACATAGTGGTGAATACATCTGCACTATTGTGCCTGATTCCGACTCACTCAGCGACTCCAATTAGCACGAACTGTTTTGATTAAAAGATAGATATTCTTAGTGTTTTGTCAAATCATTTCTCGATTAATCGTAAGTAAAAATGGACTTTTTATGCAGAGTTTTTAAATAAGATTTTCAAGTGATTTAAACTTAACAAAGTTATTTGAATATATTACCTTCTTGATTTTCTCCGTAATCCTTACTTTAAAATTCAAAATGTAATGACTCTGAAATATGATCTCATTCAATTTGTTATTTGCAGTTGGAATACTTCAAAAGAGTTCAAAACTTGGATACTTGTCTGCACTCACGTCTTGATTATGAAACCGGTGAACCTATTTATGATGATCATTATAAAAACTTACAAATGGACTGCATTGGTCTGTATGTAATTCAGCTGGTTCAAATGATTCATTCTGGACTTCAGGTTTGTTGATTTTGATAAAAAATTGTCCTTATGGTCGAATTATTATGCAGACTGATTCAGTCAAATGAAGACCTTGTGATGGTGTGCTGTCATTCACTATACCTTGAATTTTATTCATCGCAGAAAATGAAATAGTAATTAATAACCACCAACCAACTGGCTACATAAATAAGGTGAATGGATTTATGCCATAACTAACACTTTTCTGATACATCACTGACTCTCCACTAAATAAGCATGTTTTAATCTATAAAACGTGTAGGTTTTTTCAGTATTTTCATTCGATAGAGTTGTGTTGTTTGGATACATTGGATTAACCAACTGACGGTCATTGAAAAATTTATTCTCAAAAAATGTAAACTTGAGTTTCCAAAATATGGTCTGAGTTGGTGGGTGATCCTCGAGGATGCCCTAGTTTTGTCCGTACACAGAGTAATGTTTGTATAGTTAACAACTTATCAGATTTTCCAACAGATGTCGATGAACACTGATTGTAAATATGTATATTCATTGCAACATATACTCGACCTAAATCCTATTCCCATTAGCCATGAGAGATGGAAATGTTAAATTGTCAGAGGTTTTGGAATTCAAGTAATTGACTTTACACTATATTTTACTTAGATTTCCTCTAACAACATTCCTTATGTTTTATGTTCTTGTGATACTGCATGGTTCATGTTAATAATTACATGGAAGATTTTTGCTAACTACAGAAATAAACAAGATCTTAGTTGAAGAGTAGGTCGTTTATCCACTGTCTGACAAATGTGATCTCGGGGCATGAATTCATTTCATTCAAGAAGTTCCTCATACTAAATCTTCATAGTTTATAACTTCTACTTTCTTTGAGTCAAGACCTTCATGAGCAGAGTTCTCAACCCTAGTCTCGACATTATCTTTACCGCGGCTTTATTGACTGTTGTCTACACCTTTATCCACGAAAATCGAAACTTAGAGAGCAATATGAGTGTATGACATCATGTTTGATTTCTTCATATTATATGTTTCTTTCAGATTGTTTACACAAAAGATGAAGTAGCATTTGTACAAAATCTTGTGTTCTATTTGGAAAGAGCCTACCGTATCCCAGATTATGGAATGTGGGAACGTGGAACAAAGCAAAATCGTAATATTACTGAATTACATGCAAGGTAAGTTTATATATATATATATATATATATATATATATATATATATATAAAGTTCATAATTTATTTCTGGAAGTTACCACTCCTTTAGTCTTCGGTTATAACAGTGTTGTACAAAGTTAAAATAATATGTTAGTTTAGTCATCCTGATACATTTTTCTTCTTCCAACCAGAAGTGCACTCTGACTTAGAGAATAGTTAAACAAGTGCTATATTTACTTCATCCATTTCATTCGATCCAAATTCGCAACGAGATCAAATGAACTATTATCCATTCTGAAAACTAAATTCAACTCCGGTACATTTCCCAGAGACTTTAAATCACATGATAGCAGATACTGATCAAGTTTTCATCATTTTTACAAAGGTTCTGTTGACCAGCACTCTGCTAGAGTAAATAAAAATCCTATGTAAATGAACATAGCTTGATTTTAAAGAATCATTTTCTAACTGAAAGTTCATATAATAAATCTTCTGGTTTTTTATTGGCTTTTTCAAACGACCACTTTGTAATATTTTCATTTGACAGAATATATCATGTATCGAGTGTAAATGATTGGCGAACTATGGTTAACAAACAATTTGAAGTGTAGTATAGTATACCAAACTATATTTTATGTTACTTATGCAATGGCTATTTCGTAAATTGTTGATAATATTCTTTTTTTCTTCATTTGTATAGAATTGTGTTCCATCTGGATTATGCTTTATTTATTATATAATAAGTTATGGATGAACTGTGTATTATTATTGATTTTGAAATTTTCATAATCTTATTTCCTAATTAGCTCTATTTGTATGGCGAAAGCTGCATTGGAATCGGTTGCTGGATTCAATATCTATGGTTATGAAGGTGGACATTCTTCTATCCTTTTTATGGATGCTGACGCCCACAGTCGTAATAGAATAATTATGACAAATTTGTTACCTAGAGAATCTGCATCAAAGGTAAATTATGTTCCTTTAACTAGTACGATTTCATACTCAATATGTGAATATCATAAGTTATGAAAAGGGAGTCGAATCAAAATATTTTGAGTTAGGGATAATATCATTTCCTTTAATTGGTTCTTATCAACCACATAAGATCCTAAATGTCTCTTCTTGATGGTCTGGGATTTTCAAATCTCCAGTTTCATTTGGAGTCTGTCAACCATATCGTGTAATATGGCCATTAATTGAAATGACATAGATCTTAGTTTGGCGTATTTATTGTTGAACACTAATTGAAGATCAGAACCTATCACTTCTCAGGCCGTACAATACTGGACGAAGAATGTTTGAATTTCAGGCAGAAGCAAAAAAGAACTTGGATTTCTTCGAGATTTCAGGGATATCTGTCTGATAAGCACTGATAGCCATAAAAACTAACCATGGGTATTGTGCTCCATAATCTAAAGCTATTCAGCACACTAACTAACATCCCTGAAGGAAAATAAAACAGACTCTATCAAACTCTGCTCCATACATATGTATTACGATGGTTCGATTAACTGACGAAATACTGGAATGATTGAGATAGCCAAACTAATAAGCTACCTACTTGACCGGTTCCTACACATCAGCCGCATTGTCAGGAGAGAACGAAACAACGGGTTAGCTGGTTGAATAAATATTAGCGAAATAAAACGGACATTTACATGCCACGTATAAGGCTAAGATGTTTTGACTAAGCTATTGATCGGACAAATGATTAACCAATGGTGGAAATAATAATCACAAACGAAGTGGTTACACTTTAATTTTATCCCTTATACCAGTTCGTTGTTATTCTTTTTGTAACTGTTGTGTTCCATGTTCTAGGGTACTGACGCTTCACTTATTCCTTCATTGTGTTGGCCAGCTTATGGTACATGTTCAACTAGTACACGATTGCCAGCTCTGGAACGCTGTTTAGAACGTTTAAAAGGTGTTTACGGCTTCAAACGGTTTACCCGAGATGGTTATGCTACTGTTTTAGACACAAATAGCGAATATCAACCGGGAGAATTGATGGTATGCTGTAGTTAGTTATATCTTGGCCATTTGTTCTCTGGTAACCAGTGAATTAAAAGTGTTTTGTTTGTTTTCGTCTGATAAACGTGCTAGTTTAAACCTATGTTCGACTGAAGTTTGGTATATAAAGGAATAGATTTAGACTCGCTGGTACAATCTTCCCCCGAGATAGTGGTTTCAACCTCTTTTGAGGTCGTCGGTGGGCTTGGCTAAAGAGTTCCGGACTAGGAAGAAACATTTTCTTCTAGTGCTCTTATGTTTTGAATAGTGCTATGCTTTGGTTTGTAGGTGGCTGGAGGTAGTCAACAGGAAATTCTTGTCCTAGGTTTCGTGCTTATTGGCACTCGCCAGCAGGGCAAGTATTTTATCTTTTTATTTTCGGTAATTTATTAAAATTCCTAGTTGTCAGGCTTAATTACCTGCTAACTTACTTACTTACGCCTGTTACCCCTCATGGAAGAGCATAGGCTGCTCAACAGCATTCTCCATCCAACCCTATCCTGGGTAATTGTTTCCAGTTGCTATTTATCCTTTTCATACCGACGTTGTGTGTTTTTTGGTCTTCGTCTTTTCCGTTTCCGTTCAGGATTCCAAGTTAGCGTTTGCCTCGTGGCTATTTGATTGCTTATATCAGATTATTTTGAAATGGTTTAAATTCATTGATATACATTATTCTTGAGGTATATACTGACTGATTATTAAAGTTTATTAATTACTCATACTTATGTGAATGAATGATATTTTTCTTCGTCATTTTAAATAGCTTAATTATTTCTCGTTATCTGTCTGTAGAAATTTGTTGGAATCGAAAGTGAATGGCCAATGTTTTTTGCATACATGATTATCGAAAGTAAGTTGAATGTCAGTCATTCCCCTTTCAACTACATCATAAAATTGTGGTATTTGTTATTCAGATAAAGTGTAGAGTAATTTTGTGACTTATATTTATCGACTGTTTACTGCCCTCAATTTATTTTTATTAAATGTAAATTAATAATCAAAGTACAGATTTGCTTATTCAGTTTTGAGTCATACTTTTGTGTGCAAAGTTTAATGATGCTAATCTACTATCCATATTGATATGGATGAAGCTTGTGAACTAATGGCTGAAAGTTTAGTGCTGTTTAACTGCTACTCTACAGCTCCACATTCTGGATACGTATGAAATTAATCTTATGGATATTCTCCTATCTTCACTGATTGTGAATCTTTTAACACAGTATGCACGCTATATAAATTAATGATTGGAACCGTATAAAAATTTCTCACTCATTCCTAAATCTACCAATCAGAACGCCAAAAAGTCAACCAAGCACCTCATTATTTTCATTAAGATCATGAACCCATCAATGTTAGACCATCATTGAAATCCTAGACTCACTGGACGACCGCCTCGTCCTAGTATGGGACTCCTTGGCAGTGTGCACCCACGATCCCGTGCATAGTAGTCGAACCCCAAGACCTTCGGTCTTGCGCGCGAACGCCGACCTTTTAAATCACTGATTTGGCATCCAACGGGTTAATATCTAACTTCAACCAATCCACGATATTGTACGGCCTATTTAATATTATCCTGCATTAATAAGACTAAAACTCATGATTATATACGTGATGATTTGATGATTATATTAAGCATTCAATTATTTGGATACATTTCGAAATCGGAAAATTTAAATAATTGAACAGTTTGTTGTTCAGTTGTTTCAAATTCCAGTCTAACTGCTCACCGACGCGTTGTAGATCTGAAGGCGCCAAAGGTCCGTTGATGGCGGTCACTTCGTTGTCCACTGACACCGACTTCGGTGGCTTGGACATGTTCTCCGAATGTCGTCCCACAGAATTCCACGTCGTGCATTATTTGCCGACTCTGGAACTGGTTGGAAGAAGCGGAGAGGTGGTCAGTGCATGACATGGTGTCGTGGTATGAAAGAAAGCTGCAAAGGACTGGCTTCTGTCGGTCCTTCACGACTCCCTGGTTGGGGTCTGAGAGATGGTGCAACACAGTGGCTAGAGACGTTATCAGATATGGCTCAGAATAGAAGCCAGTGGCGATCCTGCTGTAATCTTCTTTTACTTTCTTCGTAAAAAGTGGTTGTGTCTCCCTTACCTGAAAGATTTCTTCCGATTGTACCTTTGCGTTCCCTCATTACTACCACACTACCTTACACCAATCTCTTCGTTATTCTTTTTTTTTCTATTTCTCTTCGAATTCTCATTGTTTTGTGTGGCGCATATATATTGGCGCTCTCATGTACCAATATTTATGTGTTCAAATAAATAAATAAACCAGTTCAACTTGCCAGTCATCTATACAATGTCAGGTTATATCTGAGAGAGGCTATAGTTTTTTATTATCTTTATAGACTTTATGCTAACACTCACAATTCAGCTCTCATATTAGTACACTCGTATAAATTTGTATAATTTTCTTCTTTATGGTTTAATTCCAAATGTTAAAATTCATTGCATTCAAAGTTCTAGTCAAAAAATGACCATGTTAACTGGTATAGTGAGTCAATCAGAAGTGACCTAACGTGAAGATCACTCATACATCGTCCAAAATGACCTAAAAGACTAATTCATATCACTGACTAGAAGTGGGTTCATTTTCTAAGGGGTAGGAATGTATCTATTTAAATGAGTATTTTTGCATATTATTCAGTAGCCCAATCGACTTTCTTTTCGACCATTGTCTTCTTGCTCAAGTAGTCAGTTCGGTGGTAGTGGGGGCTTTGACGCATAGCATGTTATGTATCAATATCAGATCTCGGACATCACCCATCATAATATTAAAGCATCACAGTCACTATCCGTGTTTCATTGTATCTAAGTCTTATTTTATTCGGCAGTTTAAAAATCCCCATAGAATATTCAAATATTCTTCATATTTTATTACATTTCAAGGAATATCATTAAACGCACGGCGGTTTTTGTATTTCTTTATTTAATTTTTTTACCCCATTAAAAAAATTTTTCATCCCATTTTTCATTTTTTCTCATTCCCTTTCGTCCAATTAAATGGCTAGTTTTAAATTCGTTATAATTGGTTATTTATTTCTTAAAATTGAAATAAAATGTGAGTACTTGTCGACTGAACACCTTTTCAAAATTACGGACGATAATAACGTACAAAGTACAAGCTCTGTCGTTTCTCACTTTACGACGTACTGCCATTATGCGGTGTGAGATTCTCATTTTCATAGAGATCAGAAGCCGTATATTAAATTTGTATGTTGTAGAAATGGCTGAAGAACACCTAGCGGATCCTCACAGCCGATTAGACGAATGAGGTAATTATTATATTGTTCTTGAAGGACTTCAATGAACACTTAATGTCCGGCTTTCATCTTTTATAAGTTTATTGAAGGTTTCTAACGTCGATTTGGATGCCACGTTAAGCAATGACGAAGAAGAAATTGTTTCTATAACCTCAGAAGAATCCAGTAACCAAAACAACGACACTGATGAAGAAGCTCACGACATCAAACTTTGCGACACATGCAATCTTGCTCAGCCGCCATGTGAAACTGGTGACGGAAGCACTTGAATTTTTTGTCTCTACAATGGAATGCTTCTTTTTGTGTGCTTACGACCTACTACCACAATTCCATAGATCCCACTGTCCCATGTGCGGCTCTATTACGGAATCGTAGTCACGCTATTGTTCAAGAAAATATGAACTGTTTAGAGACCGAGTAAAGGCCCTTCTTAGGGCCACCCACAATTTGATTTAAATTCTTTTGTTTCAATTCGTTAAAGAATGACCAAAGGATTTTTTTAAATCTCTTTTCTAATGAGGTTTAACTGTTCCATCTGATAACTATCTTGCATACAACAAGTTTTTTTTTAACTTAAAGCGTTTATTGAAAATTAGTAAGAATAAGTTTAAGTCATCACTAACTATAAGGCCGAAATTATGTACTAAGATCATCTCACTGGTACAATAACATTATTTCCATGGGAAAGGTCAAGTGATGAATTAGAATCGCTCACGTATTAGTAATACTTTTTTCTGATCTATAAAATGTCTATCATCTAATGTACAGTAATCTATCTAACAATAGTACATGCAAAATTTAATAAGAATATTTCAATACAGTGAAAATTCTCATATTGACGTGTGGCAAATAAATGTAGGCACAGTGGTCTAGTGGTTAAGCGCTCGCGCGAGAGACTGACAGATCCTGGGTTCGAATCCTGCGAGGCGGGGTCGTGGATGCGCACTACTGAGGAGTCCCACAATAGGACGAAACGGCCGTCCAGTGCTTACAGGTTTTCCATGGTGGTGTAGCTTCAATTGACTCATGATCTCAACTACTGAGATTTTATTTATTATATTGACATTAAACGTTGGCATAGCTAAGGGTTAATCGATACAGTTGACCTTATTCGCATTCAGCTTTATAATCGAACTAAAAATTTATTTTGTCAGATGTAAGCCTGTTAATTTGCACTTAAACAATATTCCTAATGCTTGTCAAAAATGGTTATTCTTGTAACGTTCAGCTATTTTATGTGTGACATTAAAAAATAAATACTCACATATAACGAAAATGTACATACAATTTTTTAGTGTTCGTCGTTTAATAAAGAAAACTGATGATTCGAAAAATGATTCCAGACTTTCTAAATAAGTAACGTATGCTATCTTATTTACAAAAGGCATCAAAACATTAAGATAATGATTTGGTCAGACTGCACACCTACAAAACATTTTCTGTTGACGTAAAGTGAAAAAAACCTTACGCGCACTTCCCAAGCACAATAAACGATTCACACTACTGCGTAGACAGAAAAGTATGTTTTTGTCATAATTATAAACTACTCAACTACATAAAATGAACAGTGTACAGTTAAAAACAATTTATACTTTTAATGGACTAGCAAAATAACGCAATTACAATCTTGCATTTATTTACGATACCATTTTTAAGGCTAAACTAAACAACTCTTTTGTATTAAGAATTACTGTTTGCAAAATAACCAAATCATAAATATTATTTGCTACCTTCTCTGAAATTATTATTAATTTAAGAAAGCGTAATAGTTGCTTCATTTATCGATCCTTAACGGTTAGCGTGAATAATACATGCCCATTTTCACCAAACATTATTGGTTTTTCATTGGTATACTTTCCTAATTCTGATTAGATTGTTTAAATGGTGATCGAGAGAAAGCAATAGAATATGATCAATTAATGCAACCGCTTCTTGTTCATCCTGTATCGGAATCATGTAAGTAGTTAGTTCGATGAATGATAAATGTTAAAAATTAACTTCTGGAATTATGACACTAATGAAGATCTGAACTAGTGAAAATAAAATGTGTTGTAATTCCTCGATAAATTTGATAAAATATTCATTATTACCGATATAACTAATGGGGTCAATCTTTAACTTTCAACTCAAACGTAGAACCACGGAACATCTGACAAAGTATATAAATGTAATGTTAACGAACTGGAGTTGTCAATCATTTACGAAATATGAAATAAAAATAGTATGATTTATAAGGGATCTATCAGTTAATAAATAAATAGTCAGTGATAACAATGAAAGTTATAAGCTAGCCAGTGATTATTCATGTAAACCTGTAGCAAAATGTTTGAACTAGTGAACACTATCAAAAGTAGCTTTAGTTAAATTTGGGTGTAAACGTATATGTGTCCGATTTGCATGATTTAGATTTCCAATTTAAAGCAATTAGTCCCTTTTATAAATTTCGATAGAACAATGAGAGGACGGAGTTGATCTGAAAAGTGTGATTTATTAGCGCTATACATTTCGAACAATCTGGTCACACATATACTTGTCAGGGCATTTTTATATGAAATTTAGATTTCCATCACTTCGAACATCTTATACTCAAGTTATAAATGAGCATTTAATTCGCAGCTTATTCATCAAGTTTAAGAAATGTTTATTCGAAATTCCGAAATTACTTTCGTTCAGATGTGTAATTGATAACTTCATGAAAAGACTACATTTGTTAATGTGCATCATATGTAAGAATATGTTACTTTCTAACTGTCTTGCATATCTTTGTGCAAAACTATTATTCAAATCTGTTTTATAAAGTAATCGATGCTAAATAATGACACAGACCCATGGTCTTTGTGAGGATATTTTATGTGGAATCTGTTTGTCCGGTAATCACGTTAGTGCTAACTCACTACATTAGGCACACATATCTCCGATTTTGTATGTATCTTTATTGTTGGTTGTGATTGAACTTTCTCTACAGATGTTAACCGTACTAATAAGTCATTAGGTTATTTGTATCCAAAGTTAGTCATACATGACCGATAAAATTTGTCAGTTTTATATTCTTATAAATCTATGCAAGTTAAAGGAACATTTACTATAGTGTTTTGATGTCTGTCATTTCACATAAATGCATTTCAGGATTAATCAGTAGAAATTTATTTTGATGTAGCTTAACTGTTGTATATTTTCAAATTCAAACCGAATAAGCGATGCTGTCCGGAAACAGGTTCAGGATAGGTTACCTACAATGTGCTTTCCAATTTGTGTAGATCAATGTAACTACTGTTTAGCTAGTTACAAGGTCTGTAATCAAGATATCTTATCCTTACGCTCTTGTTAACCAAGTCTATTAAGTGACATTCTTACTCACCTGATAATTTGTGAGCACTGTATCAAGATACACAGTTTGTTTTAATTTTGTATTGTGTTGAATAATCTATTGGAAGGAGCAAGCTTACACTTAATATACATGTATATTTTAAGAACTCTATTTTTCCTGACATAGATCCATGGCTTCCAAAGTTTTATTTTGTTCCTACTGAAGAATTGGAAAAAGAGCGTCGTTGCCGTGGTTCAGCAATTCGTAAAAGCAGTTTCCGTTTAGTCGGTGAATCTCGTTTCCTTTGGGGGCAATCAATCTATATTATATCTCAGTTACTAAGTAGGTTGGATTTCCCTTCTTTCTGAATAATTTGTAGATTACAACAAAAATTGTGATGTAAAGTTTAATTGTTTTATTTTGGATGCTAAATAATTCCTAATGTTATGACTGCTTGAAATGGACAAAAAATTACTTGAATAGATGAAGATAGAGGAACTGGTAGTTTTTCTCACGAAACTGATCTTTCGATCTCGGTTGGGTGGATGATAGAAGACAGAACTGTACTGAGAAACTAATTAAGTATATCTGAATATATATTAGGAAATTTGGAGGTTTTTATTTCTTCAAATATAATATTGTTTATTTTTTTATTCAATGGTAAAAAGTAAATAGCCAAGACTGAAAATGAAAATTAAGAAACAATTGATGACTTTTTATTCATCGTAACACTTAAGTATTACATAAATTTAGTTACAAATTATAGATAAGAAATGAAAGTAACAGTTGTTGGGTTTAAGTTATGGTCTTAGTATCACAGCTTGTACAGTTGCTGTTTACCTCTCTCAGAATTTTGTTAAATATCAGTTTGATTAACTCCTCCTGTAGCTCTTCTGAGGCTACTGCCAGTCTCAAGCCCGGGTAAAGGAAAAAGGCGTGTCATAGGGTCAGAAACCCCATCCCGTAGAAAATATCTTGCCAAAACAACGCTAACCAGAATAAACAAGTTGAACCGTTTAACCTCTCCACTGGAAGTTGGAGGATCTTCATTCAGAAGAATTATGACGCCTTACACTGAAAGCCGAGATTGTTTAGGAGGCACGAGAGCGATATTTCTTCAAACAACCAGAGCAACAATTAATATAGGTACGTGGAATGTCTGGACAATTTAGGGGACCAGGAAGACTAATAAAATAGCTGCGAAAATGAGGAGGTACAACTTGGTGGTGCTCGGAACCAGAGAAACCCATTGAACCCAAGCTGAACAAAAAATGGATAGATTTGGAAGAGATGCTGTCGTACTCTGGTCACGAAGAGGAAAGTGCTCCACACACTCAGGGAGTTGCTCTGATGCTGTCCAAATAAGTACGTAAAGCACTTATAGGATGGGAATCTTACGGATCCAGAATCATAAAAGCATCCTTTAAAACAAAGGAGAGAATCACGATGAATGTTATCCAATGTTATGCTGCAAGAAGCATCATCGTAAGGAATGGATTTTCATCGACACCCTGGACAAGATTCAAGAAAGGAAGAAGACAGTAATTAGCAACTGCCGAACAAGAATAGAGAAAGTCAAGGCACGAGCAAACAAGCGAGTGAAGAGGAGCATTAGAGCCGACAGGCAGAAATACGTGGAAGAACTAGCAACGATGGCGGTAAAAGCTTCAAGAGAAGGAAATACGAGACAGCTATATGACACAACGAAGAAACTAACAGGGAAATATAGTAAACCAGAGAGACCAGTCAAGGACAAAGGAGGCAAAACAATAAATGAGATTCAAGAACAGAGGAACAGATGGGCACAGCACTTCGAGGAACTCTTGAATAGACCAGCTTCATTGAATATACCGGACATAGAAGCAACACCTACAGACCTTCCTATAGATGTCAATTCACCAACGACGGAAGAAATCAGGACAGCCATCAGACAAATCAAGAGTGGGAAAGCAGCAGGACCTGACAATATACCAGCCGAAGCACTGAAGTCAAACGTGGAAGCAACTGCAAACATGCCCTATGTTCGATCCAGGAAGATTTGAGAGGAAGAACAAGTGACGACAGACTAGAAAGAAGAATAGCTCATCAGGACACCAAGTAAAAGAGATCTAAGCAAATGTGAGAATTGCAGCGACATCAAACTGCTAACAGTATCAGGAACCGTTTTGAACAGAGTATTGTTGAACTGGATGAGAGAATAAGTAGACGCTCGACGTCCAGATCAATAGTCTGAACTCCGTAAGGATCGGTCGTGCACAGACCAAATTGCGACACTACGGATCATCGTCGAACAATCAGTTGAGTGGAACTCGTCACTGTACATCAAATTCATTGATTATGAAAAAGCATTTGACAGTGTAGATAGGAGGACATTATTGAAACTTCTTCGACACTACGGAGTTCCTGAGAAGATTGTCAATATTATCCGGAACTCATACGACGGACTACAGTGCAAGGTCGTGCATGGAGGACAGCTGACAGACGCAATCCAAGTAAGGACCGGAGTCAGACAAAACTGTCTACTCTCTCCCTTCTTCTTTCTTCTGGTGGTCGACTGGATTATGAAGACCTCGACATCTGAGGGAAAGCACGGAGTACAATGGACAACTTAGAATCAATTAGACGATTTGAACTTTGCAGATGACCTGGTCCTTCTATCCCATACACACCAACAAATGGAGATGAATGAAACTAATGTAGTAGCAGATCCTGCATCACTAGGTGTCAACATACACAAGGAAAGAACCAAGATCTTCAAATAAAACACGAAGAACACCAACCCAATCTCACTTGATAGAGAAACTCTGGGAGAGTTGGGAAGTTCCACGTATCGCAGTTGCACCATAGATGAATGTAGAGGATCTAATGCAGAAGTAAAGAAGAGGATTAGCAAATCTAGGGCCGGAGTCCTATAATTGAAGAACATATAGGACTCAAAACAACTGTCAAGCAACATCAAAATCAGAATCTTCAATACGAACGTCGAGACAGTTCTACTGTACGGAGATGAAACGTAGAGAACTACTACAACTATTATCAGAAGGTGCAAGTATTTATTAACAATGGTCTACGTATGATACTGAATGTCCGTTGACCGGATACCATCATCAACAACCTGCTGTGTAAAAGAACAAACCAGGTTCGAGCTGAAGAATGAATTGGGAAACAACACTGGGGGATAAGACATACATTGTGGAAATCACCACACTGCATCACGAGACAAGCACTAACTTGGAATCTTGAAAGGAGACGGAAAAGAGGAAGGCGAAGGAACACTCTGCATCGAAAGTTTGAAGCACCCATGAATCGGGTGAATAGCAACTGGAAAGGTTTTCCCAGGACGGAATTCGACAGGGAATGTTGGTGGTCGGCCTATGTTCCTCAAAGAGGGGTAACAGGTATACGTAATGAATTAAGTAATTGGTTTGATTAGTTTGTTTACAAGTGTTGCGGAAGCGTTTGTTCCCTACTTTTTGTTCTAAATCCTATTTTAAGCGAATAAACAAATATGAGAGTGATCATGTTCAACTGAAAATGGTACTGATGATTCATATGCCCAAGTAAAAACGGCACAGTCTCAAATTTTGGTATACAACTTAATGAAGACAGTTATATCACGAATGCTTCTCTACATTACTGAAGGTCAGATATTACAGCAGTTTTATCACCATTAATTACATAGTTGCGTTGTGTTCTTTTTACAGATTGACAATTTACTAAGCAACAAATTGGGAATCATAAGCTGTTATTTTATTTCTCCATTTTCTTATTTTATTACCTAGCAAGTTACAAGATGTTCCCAATAAATATGTCTTTTTTTATTCATAGTTTCTGGATGTCTTCTACCAAGTGATTTGGATCCAATCGGTCGAAGACCATCACATCGTTTTTCAGGAATGTCATCTACATTAGGTAACGAACTTTTATTTTCTGTAAGTCTGTGATCCATTTCCTTCAAAATTCTTTTATTTTCTTATTCACAACATATTTATTTAGTTAGTAGACTGCATTACTTATAAATGCATTTCATAATTGTAAAGTTAGGAAATAATTTTAGTTTCTTGTTTTGCCGTTTACACTTCAAAATTAATTTTTAAAAGGTCCATTTTAAGTTACTAGCTGGGTATTCAGCTAAAAATGTAGTATACCACAAATTACTAATACATGTTCAGACAAAGTAAGCGTGAAAATCAAGTAAAATTTAACTAGGATGGGTGTTGACAAGATGCCTTTACGATTAAAGCATTCGACTTTCAACCGAATAAGTTGGAGGGTCGAATGGCATTTTATTTATCTTAATTTTACCATTTGGGTAATGTCTATAATAGCTTTCATACAATCAGTGTACATAAATACTGTGTTATGTTAATGCGGAATTCACTAATGAAATTAATTTACGTTGGTTAAATTAAGTAGGGGTTTTTCATAATTTCTAATAATGTGTAATTTATATCTTATTAACAAACTATCTTCCTAACTAATATTATCGTTTAAAGATAAAGACTAGAGTAACTACCGTGCATGTAAATTAGTAGTCTTAACGAATAAAGACTGTTTTTGTTTAGTAGCTTATCCGGGTTGACCTTACCTATACTATCAATGCTTTGATATTAGATGTTCTGGAATTTCGATTGTTTTCCATCTCAACACATCTTCAACTACGTTGAATATGTTTTTGAAATCATATCACATTAATATAAAAACGCACAAATGTCAAGTTGACAGATCAATATATTGCTCATATCACAGGGAATTTCGGTTCATGACCACTGATCGCACTTTTAGCACACATACACACATCTAAATTGTAGTATTTGTCTGCTTATCTGACTAAATACTTATGTTTAAAATAGTGAAAAGCTGAGAAGTATTTTAACCATTTAATAAAACAAACATTTTAAGTAGATTTATCCTTTGAATTTTTCATATATTTTTTGGAAAATACATATATATCACTGACTTAAATCTAGTGTATTTTCTACAATGCATGATATAAGTAAACACCGTAAGACCAGATGGTAATAAGTGAACATTGCAAACTAAATAACAACGAAATATCTTAATGAACAGTAGAATAAATTACTTTTGCTGTTGTTATGGTTTTAATTCCTTCTAAAAAAAATTATTTCTATCTCAGGGGAAATCGATGAATGTGACAATTCAAGTAGTTCTTATCTCTGAATCTGTTCGTTTACAACAAGTTTTAGCAACTTATGGTATTATCACTCAAACACCTGTACAAGTTGAACCTATTCAAGTGAGTTGGCTAAAATTTTGTTTTATTCTTGTAGTTAATTTGTTTTACCTTTACGAATTCTTGTATGTTTTATCAATCACTTCTTATTTTTGGTTCGAATTACTAAAGGTTTTGGTGAGACTATAATTTATGGACAATACTTGAGCAATACTTAAGTGATCTTGAGAATATCCACCTACTTACCAGGGTAAATGAGCGTTATAAATTCATGTAAGGAATAAGGGTTAGGATTTACAGTTGAAAGTTAGGGTTAGGGTTTTCATCACGAACTAACATCAGTTATAATGCCAAAATGGTATTCGGCCATATGGATGAATAAATATCTCACCAGAATCCAAGACCTGCTATCTTGAATCTAACTGATGCGTCCGTAATTTATAATCTTGTAAAGGTTTTATTTGAAATTAGGTTCTTTTTTAATCAAACTGAATACTGTTTTATTTTCTCTTCTATAAATTTGCACTAATTTCATGAAATATTCTTCAGGATTAAATAAAGAAACTCAGTCAATCCTTAATCACAGGTCAGTGGTACTAGCGTATTGGTATGGTTTATTTTATTTAGTCAGAGGGATAGAAGTTGTTGTTCTATCCTTCATAGAAGTAGATCACTCAGACAATATTTCTTTTAAACATTATATTCACACGACTTCATCATTATTGTTTTAATTAATGACTTATTTTCCCTGTTATTCATTTTTCCATGTGATTTATTTTATTAGCTTTATTATAACCTTACATCTTACGGTTGGTTTTTCTCCTTCTTTTTCAAATAGTCTCTCAACTTTTCAAATTACTCACTTCAAATTTATTAAGCTGTAACAACATCTAATTCACAGACTATGATGTGCGTTATTGTGATCACCAACATAATATTTATGGATTTATAATTTTAGAGTCACGTTGTGAATATTCTTTAAGGTTCTTTTAACTTTTAAATTAGATTTATTTCATTGACGATATAGTTAAAGCTATTAGCCTTTGATACAGAAAATATAATTTTTCTCAATTTATTCATTTCTTAATTCGACTTAATTGTTTCAAAATTGATATTCATTTCATAAGATGTTTCGATTTAGCCTTGGAATATTTTATTATTTTACTAATGCCTAGTGATACAATGTGTATTTTATAATCTATGTAAAAGTGTATAAGTAAAAAGGAGTCTAGTCTTGTTGGAAGTAACTTTGAGATCCAATCAAATAGTTGATTTCATTTTATGATTATTCATCTAATGTAGTTTCTGCATATGGACCCATACTCTCTCTCTCTCTCTCTCGATTTATAGATTTGGTCTCCAGATCAGCTTGTTCGTGTTGGCAAATTTATGGGTTGCAGTGAACGTCTAGGTCTATCTGGTCGTCCTCCTCGACCTTATGGACAATTAGGTACCAGTAAATTTTATAGGCAAGTTATCGTTTTGCCCATGATCGTGTTTCGGCAAATGATTGTAATTATCATTTAATGAGGAGCCAAATATCTTGATATCTTGATACGGGTTAGTAGTCCATACTCCCCACGGAAACATGAATTTGTAATTCTTTGTGGTCTTAGCATAAACTTGTGAAGATTCGTAGCTCAGGTAGATAGTTTTGGTGAAGTTATGTCCTCTAATATTTACTATCTAACTAAATAAAGCCATGTGTTGTGAGTAATCTTGGGTAAAATTTTGTTCAATTTACTTTTTAAAATTAAGTAATATATTGTCAGCCGTTTGTATCTTAACAGTCTTACTTAGTTTTTTAAAGGCTTCCTAAGTATAATACTTTGGAGTCGTATGGACTGATTTCATTATGAAAGAAGAATCCATAACCAATGTGAAAATGTTCATTAATCATGTAAAAAATAGTGAACAGTTTTGTAATTTCTTTTTTTCGATTATAAATTCTTCTTCCATATAATCTTTATTGTGATTGGTTAAAAACTATGAAAAATTGTTTAACTTCATTTCAGAAGTCTTTCAAGTTCTTTGGCATGGTTAAGCTTAACTGAAAGATCATTGAAGAGAAACTAGAAATCATATACAAACTGCCATTTAATTTGTCAAAATAAGTTGACTGAATCATTTATCATGAATAAAATAAGTAAATAATAATAATAATAATAATAATAATAATAATAATAATAAAACAGGATTCATAATACTCATATTCTTAAGAAAGGAAGAGTAATTGGATAATTATGCCTTTTTTATTAGTTCAGAGAATCGCCGAGTAGAAATATCGTTTTCTCATCTACAAATAAAACTGTACTGCCACTAGAATATATATTGAAGCAATGTGTTAGTGATTAAGGCTTTCGACTTCAAATCGTCTAGTCATTGGTTTGAATCCCACTCCTCGTACTTCGATTTAGGTAAACAAGGTATATAATTAATCTTTAGACGAAGAGTTTGACTTAAACCCAAGTGTACAAGTTTGTATATAGTAAGTGATACTAATAATTAATAACTACTTATCTCAGGTATGTGTCTCTGATGTAAACATTTCTTCAATAAATAAAATAAAAATTGTTAATTACTGTAACTCATTCACATTAATTACAAGTTAATGTATGCAGTTTTGAAGTATGCCGTTTACATGCAGGTTAGCGATGCTATCCAGTTGTGCGAACCGCATTAAATAGAGTAAGGCATGACCTTACACATTATTGATTAAAAGTCGAATCTTTTAATCGCTAAGCCATTAATTGGTCTTTATTATTGTATAGCTATCAATTGATTTAGATGATGGGTAAAATACACACATGTACATCCACTACTAGTTTTCACCAAGTATATTTAATCCAATAAATTATATGGCTATTTCGATTGTTTTCAAATTAAAAATTGTTTTATTAAACATGACTAGAGTGTTAGGTTCGTTAAATAATATACATGATTAATGTCTACGACCTATATCAATTAAATTGGATTATTCATTAACATTGGACACTAATCAAGTAAATCTATTAATGGATATATTATAATCACATCATAATGAATTATGATTTAAATACAAGAGAAATAACTGTATAGCATTTTTGTTCAGTTGAATCTAATCAATAGATATAAGAGCCCCCACATGCCCTGGTACGGCCGAGAGTGAGGAGAGTCCGCTCTCCCTCTCCAAATGCTCTCATATGGCCACACGTATACAGCTTCTGTCAGGGAAGTCCTACTCACTGCTTTCTCGTGGCACGGGTGTTGTTTACGGAATTGAAAGGACGAAAAGTGAATGTCCGGCGATTTAACCTGGTTGGTGGACACGGTGAGTTCACCTAGGGGAGTTGGAAAACCCTGATTCCAAACCAAGTATGGTGATGCACATGGGCTCCAGTATCCTGAAGGAACAAATGGTATGTATGAGCCAATCGTTGGTCACCGGTTACCGACTGTATCTCTTCACGATGCTTCACTGCCTTATGGATCAGACCTTTAGGTCGAAGACTCTGGGTGTGGTCCCCTTAGAAAACCACCTGTTTCGGTTTGGGCACCCGAGCAGTATCACAGCCTTCACACAAATCAAATGAGGTGTGTGTGGCGCATATTTATCTGGTGCTCCCTTGTACCAGTATTTGTGTGTTCAAATAAATAAGTAAAATAAATATCTGATAGATATTAGTAATTAATGTGTGTCTAATATCCTGTCTATCAATTTGGCCATTTTATAGCGATCTCTTTCATCCATACTTTTACTGTCGATATCACCAACAAAAAAACATTTTCAGGTTTTTCATGAATACAATTTACATGATCTTTCGATTTTACACTTTATTGTATTTTTTTTCTTATCACTCATTACTTATCTTAGAATATCTGGTTTAACTGTTCTTTGTTACCCAATATTATTTGAATCTCAAGAGTTTTATCTACTTCATGATATGCAAGTGGTTATTGATGAAGCTAAGGTAGGTGAAATAACTATTGGCCATTTTATTCTTGTATTGTTTTTCCTTATTATTATGTTTAATATGAAACACAAGAATGAAGTAGGGAGTAATATTTACTATCCTAGCATGATCAGATCATGTGAATTCGCTCGAAAAGAACTCACTAGAATGGCACTTAACTAAACTAATAAACTACAAATATAATTATTCCCCCACTGATAAATCTCAGTGAGATGTAGGAAATATCATAAGATAAAAATATCTTCTGATTTCTGTAAAGATCGATTAGTGTCAATACTGGCTCTTAATTATGACTGGAATTTGTGAATGGGTTGAAAGAATTCAACAATTCACATAAAACCGTATCATCTATTTCACTTTATGTTCAACCATTTAAAGTATTTAAATTGTGGTTTTGTTACTTCAATGAACATGTTTATAGGTGATAAGTAGAGATAGCTATGAAATTTAAAGCATATCAACAAAAATGTCAATATTTACCGTATGTTTTTGTCATTATTTCATTGATCATCTGTTAGATAGCTTAAAACAAGACATAAGTGAATAACATTGTTTCCATTAGATTCTCATCAATCTTTAATTGAATATGCAATCATATTGGTGTCCATATGTGGGAAAAATAGGACTGAACTGATCAAGAAAATATGTGTGCCAGTGATACACAACTCGTAAAAAATTTTTAAAAAATGTATAGCAGAATAGGAGGTGTAGTATTAGCAACGATATTAGTAACAATCAAGAAACATTCTTTTTCGTTATTCCTTTTGTACCCAGCACTTGAACAATAACAGCTTTTATTTCTCTCTTGTAAAATCGTTTTCTCAATAATTGATCATTTATCTGTTCGGTTATATAATCATCTATTTTTCTCGATCAATTTTATTTCTTGTTCGTTACAGACTGATTTTCTATTTTTGTCTAATTGGTGGAGATTGCGTGGACGTCCCACATTTTGTTTTCTGATGCGTGAAGATATGGTAAAGTAAGTTATTTAAAAAAAAGAATTCCATTCAGTATTTATGATAACACAGCATTGTTATTAATGCTGATTTCATTTATTGTCTTTTTTTGGTAACCTAGTATTAGTGGGTACTATTGTGTAAGATTGGTATCAACGCACAAACGGTAAATATTCGATTAGGTAAATTTCTATTTTCTGCACCATCACTTATAAATAAGTGTAATATCAATATCACAGCGAAAATGTTAATATGACATACAGACTATTTTTATATAGAAGATAGGTTATTTATTCGAATTGGTAAGCAAGTTATCATATATGTTCAGTAATATTACAATTTGGATGTTAATTGACTTACTAATGAATACGTTTATTATCTTGGTCTGCTAAACTAATATACAGTAAGAAGTCGAGTAGGTGTAGAGAATAGTATTTTCAGCAATTATCGTCATTTCATTTCATTTTATTTGTGTGTAGGCTGTAATACTACCTGGGTGCTCAGATCGAAGCAGGTGGTTTTCTTAGGGGACCACACCCGGAGTCTTCGACCTAAAGGTCTGATCCATAAGGCAGTGAAGCATCGTGAAGAGATACAGTCGGTAACCGGTGACCAACGATTGGCTCATACATACCATTTGTTCCTTCAGGATACTGGAGCCCATGTGCATCACCATACTTGGTTTGGAATCAGGGTTTTCCAACTCCCCTAGGTGAACTCACCGTGTCCACCAACCAGGTTAAATCGCCGGACATTCACTTTTCGTCCTTTTAATTCCGTAAGTAACACCCGTGCCACGAGAAAGCAGTGAGTAGGACTTCCCTGACAGAAGCTGTATACGTGTGGCCATATGAGAGCATTTGGAGAGGGAGAGCGGACTCTCCTCACTCTCGGCCGTACCAGGGCATTTGTGGGCAGGTGTAGAAAGCCTTTTTTGGTGTATGGTAATTTCTTCCAATGTCCTATAAGCTTAGGTGTTAAATTATTTATTCAATGAATAATTCTGTTTTCCTTTTTACTTCATTGTTACCTTCATTATATTTTCTTGATAGTTCGTTTGCTTTTGAAATACTATATTTGATTATGTCAGTGTGATACAATGATTGTCATTCATGTTTAAAAAGATCATGATGCATTAAAAATTTAGCAGAACGAAATCTTTCTTAAACCAAGAATTTATGAATTGGAATAATTGTTTATCAGTTTGATTATTATTCGTTGTTTTGAAGATTTCAGAAATCTGGACTCAATGTAGTTCCGAATGTTAAAATACCTTATAAAGGCTCTCTACTCGAACACAACTGGTAGAGTGAGAGCTTATGGTGAACTGTCATCAGAATTGATTACGTCAACTAGTGTTCGTCAGGGCTGCCCACTCTCTCCATTCTTGTTCAACTTTGTCGTCGATGTACTTTTAGTGATAACACTTTCCTCGTCTAGATTTCCAGAGGTTGAACTTCTACCGGGAGGTTCACTTGTTGAATTAGAATATGCTGATGACAGTTTTATTTGGTGAAGACGCTGACAAAATGCAGAGTCTTATGACCACTCTAAGCAACAATGCAAGCATGTTCGGGATGCCATTCTCCCCTTCGAAAAGCAAAATGTTGCTTCAGGACTGGTTTGCATCGACACCCGAACTAATGATAGGGAGTGCAGTAATTGAGCGTGTCGATCGCTTCACTTATCTTGGAAGTCTCATCAGCCCTTGTGGTCTGGTGTGTGTGACGAAATCTCAGCACGGATACAGAAGGCTCGACTAGCTTTTACCAACTTGCGTCATTTATGGCGTAGGTGAGATATCCGTCTATCAACCAAAGGACGTGTTTACTGCGCAGCAGTTCGTTCCGTCCTACTTTATGGCAGTGAAACATGACCGGTAAGAGTAGAGGATATTCGTAGGTTACTAGTATTTGATCATAGGTGTCTTCGAAATATTGCTCGCATATCCTGGGACCATCGTGTAAGTAATGCAATTGTTAGGAAACAGGTACTAGGTGAGGATGGCAAATCAGTTGATGACGTAGTGAAACTTCATCAGTTCAGATGGCTGGGACACGTGTTACGTATGCCCAACCACCGACTGCCTCGATGTGCGATGTTTTGTTGTATAGGAGTAGATTGGAAGAAAGCTAGGGGCGGCCAGACCAAAACATGGCACAAGTCCAAGAAGTCACTGACAAGCGGACTGAGCCATGTTGGTAAGTAAAAACTACCTGGTTAGGATCCGCGAGATGATAGCAACCGACGGTTAGAGACCTTGAATGACATGGCTCAAAATCATTTGCAATCGCGCAGGTGCATCCACTCTTTGTGTTCTCCCAAATTCTAATCTCCTGAATTCTTCATGCCCCTTTCTTTTTTTCTCTTTCTTAATTGATTTCACTGGATTATACTCCTTGAATAACATCTCCAAACCCTAATTTTTCTGATTACAGCTTATAATTTTATTACATCTAGCACTACGGGATTTGAATAGACCACTGCATCTCTGTGCTAATGTGGTGTGGCAACTCGAACTGATGTACGTACGTACGAAGTTCTACGTTGTTACTGACTGACTGACTGACTGACTATCGTTTATTTGGCCTGTTATTGTGCTTCTTTTCTTCTACTATATCCGATTTTCCCGGTATGATTTCTGTGAGATATTCTTTGGATTTTGATTGGTGAAATTTTTTTTGTTGTAATGTGAACGAGATGATGCTAGATCTCCAGAAACAAGTGGTAAACTTCTTATTTTTATAATTTAATTTCTCACTTTTGCTCCAAAAGCGCCCATTATCACATCTAGTTTGTGTTTTCAACTTGGTAGGGCTCTAAGCGTTATTGGTCCGTTCTCTTTTTTACTACGCTACGTTGTGACGCTTTTCATGGACATGTTTGTGTTGTGTATATTACTCATGAGTTGTATGCTTGTTTTTTGTTCTTGCGGGCTGCTTGTGGAATTATACGTTTTCAGAAGGGAGTTTTGTGGAGATTTTTAGTAATTTTATAGTTTAATTCATGAGTCAATTAAAGCTAGACCACCAAGGAAAATCCGGAAACACTGAACGGCTGTTTCGTCCTAGTATGGGACTCCTCTGAAGTGCGCATCCACATCCATTGCTTTCAGGTTTTCCATGGTGGTCTAGCTTCCATTGACTCACGAATTCAACTATAAAATTACTAAAATCTTCACAAAACCCCTTTCTGATAATAATCATCATGTGTTCACTAGTGACTCCCTTCAAGAGGTATGTCCTGATGTTCTAGTGAGAAGCAGTGACCATTGGAGTTCAACCGGCTCTGTTGTGAGATAGTAACTCACTGAGGACAATTGTGGAAGATGGTGCAGTTTCGTGGATTAGTTGGAGTTAGACATTAAAACCGTTGGATGCCGGCTCAGTGGTCTAGAGGTTCGAGCGGGACCGTGGATGTGCACTGCTGAGGAGTCCCATGCTAGGGCGAAACGGCTGTCCAATGCTTCCAGGTTTTCCACAGTGGTCTATCTTTAATTGACTCATGAATTCAATTCTAAAATTATATATTTTCCCTGATGACTCTGATTTCCTTCCTCTAGTTAACAGGGCTCGGGCGCAGAGGAATATCTTAGCTTATCCTGATGTCGCGTTGCTGATTTTCATTTCGTTCTCCGTTCCAACGTCATGTCCTTATCCGTCGAACATAGCAGAATAATATCCTCTTAGAAGTCGAATGAATTTCTCTTACTGCCTTAGATACTTTACCACTAACAAGGTTTTAGTCTTTGTGAAACCCAGAAAAGTCTACAATAATTTATTTACCATGAGATGTGGCATTCGTGTTCTTGATAAAGTGTCTCGAAAGTGTAGTGGCTTTGCTTCGTTAATCAATCGCCTCTGTAACCGTTATTATATAAATCTCAACAGTGTTTGAAATCAAAAGGCGATAAGAAGTGGCAACTACAGTTTATTAGCGGATAGCACGGATAACAAGACTATAAGCACATCGAGCGAATTTGAGGCACAGAGGTGAATGTGTGTATGCGAGCAAATACAGAGCACAGGCAAATTTATAGTCAAATCACATAAGTGTACAGCAAGCCAAAGCAAAGGCTTATAATAGGATTCGCGTATATATATACACGGGGAAGTGAATGAATCATCGAGTGATATTTAAGTGATTAAAATTTTAGTTAGTCTGTCATTTGATCAAGCGTACAAGCTTATACAGTTATAATAGTGATCATAATATTACAAAGAAATATGCAAATTGTTACTATTCGAATAGCATTGTCTGTTTATAAGTTAACAGAAGATCTGAACCAAAATTAACCACAGTCGAAATTGGTTGTAGAATAGTTGCTATAGTAGCTTTATATAACAGGTTTAATTAATTTGGTGACTACGTCAACCGCTTCAATATCCTGTATATTGATAGGAACATCTTATGTGAATATGATGCTTATAAGTTATTCACCAACTCATATCATTTATATATTGAAATAGCTACCTCATAGCTTTCATAGGATAAGTGTTTAGTATACAAGTGAATTCTGTTTTCCTTCGGGAATTATTGTTTTATTTTAGTTTTTTTTTAAAAGTACGTTGCTGAACTATAGGTACATTTGAACTGTCAGATGCAAACTGTAAAAATCACAATGAAACAGTGTTTAGGTTCTGTACAGGGTCAGTAGTCAGAGAATCATCATTTAATGAGGTGTTAAGCTTGCATAAACTTAACGTTTTTTTTAGTGATTTGAGTACATTTTATGTGCAGTACAATTAAATGTAGTAGTTAATTTTTGGAAAGTTTGAGATTTTCCGTTGTTAGGTTTTTCATAGAAATATTTGTTAGAAACTTTGATAAACATCCTCTACTTTGTTCTTTTTCTAATTTTATATAGATATTGGAGAGTTGAAATAGGGTTTTAAGTGATCGCTTTCTTTTTTTCTCACATAATAATAACAATGTAGATTACCAATTAACACCGTGTTTTGTACGTTTGTATTATAGGTATCATTTTTTAACCATTTCCCTCGTTTGCTTTTAGTAGCCTTGGCTTATGTTAATAAGAAATAACCTTGTTCAAATAGAAGAAAAGACAGAACTACTTTTTACATGAAATATCCATTTTCCCTTGAATGCTAAAGAAATTTGGTTTTTTTTTCTAAAGGTCAAGAAAGCATATTTTCAAAGACGAAATAACTACGCTTCATTATGAAAATGTACCGTAGTAGTGTGACTGTTCGTTTCCTAACTGATGTGGCCTAGGTTCATTAATCTTTCTCGCCTCCTTTATCATGGTCAGGATGATAGAATCTCCAGTTCCCTTACCTTATAAGTAGGGCTGAAAGTTGACTACATGACTTGACATGAATAATTATCAATGTAACGAGAGTGAATTGACAACAGGACTAAACAACTAATAAATAAAAATGTCGAAGAAAATAAACAGGGATTGGTATTTTAAGGTTTTTAATGACGTTAAGTTCAAGATTCAGAAGAAAAGAACAGATACACTAGTTTCCGTATGGCTGATCTTTGAGCCACATACATGGAAACTTCCTAGTATCGAATAGAGTTGGTGGGTTTCATAACCTATGAAAATAAGGACTAGACATTGCTTCATATCTCGAATTAACGGTTGATGTGTTGTGTCTGGGCATGTTTGGCACATAATTCGACCGCTTCAAGCTATATTATTATACCATCACTTAGTACTGTTTGGCTAATATGAGCACTACCTAACTAGGTGATCACTCATCGTTTGTGAAGTTAGGTTGATTAGATTTTCTTTGTCTGATGCTAACTATCTTACATGATCACACTAATCTTGGTGATACTTATTCCTTCAATTTATATTTGTTTATGTTTATTTTCATCTCTTACATTCTTTGTAATAGACTGCATTGATCCATTCATCATCTGATATCTTGTATCTAAAGTGAACTGTCACATAAAAACCCCTTTGTATACGATTCATTGTTTATTTGTGTTTTAAAACTGTTTTCCTAATGTCTAACATGAAATTGTCATAATTTTAATTTTTAACTGCATTATACCATCGTTATCACAACAACCATAATTATTTATCATTCTATCTAAATAAATAAAATTGTTTATCTCATGATCCATTAGTCATTTTCATCCATCAGTCCAAAAGTGTTTGAACATATTTTGTAAGAAAAATAGTTGCGATGGTGAATCAATATGTTATTGAAATGTATATCATTCAATTATAATTTCTAGAATTATTTGTTAGTTATTAGATTGATCCAATTTCAATGCTTGTGATTGATGTGTTAATTATTTCCTCTTAATTTCTAATTATATCTCCGTTTATTGAAAAGTTGTACTATTGTATAAATGTGATTATAACATAATGTGATATATTCTTAAGTAATGCGAATGTCCTCTTGGGCTGATCCTCTCCATCTCGCTATACATACATAATATCTGATTCCAACTCATCAGTATACATGGATTAGCATTTTTTTCTGGCAAAAATCCCTCCCGTTTAATACACTCTACAAATGTATTAATTCTTTATAAATTTTATTGCAATTTTAAAGGTCAATATGTTTAAGCCTTATTTTGTATTCATAATACTACTCAAATACTACTTATAAATTTGTTTCAAATTATATTTAGTATTTAAAGAAGACAATATAAAACCATTAATTTCACTGACATTTTAACATCCATTATTTTGGTTCTAATATGTTTATTCATTTATATTTATAATAATAGGGTCCCAGGCTTCGATAAGTTGCTTCGTTTCCTTGTCAGCATGAAAAATGGGACTGTTCAGGAAGCCCATGTTGTTTTGGGACGTGCACAGGTAAAAATTTTCTTTAGGTAGTCTATAACTTTATCTTAAGTCTTAAAGTTTATACATGTTTGTGCACAGGATAAATTGTAAGCTTTATGCCTGCTGACTTATGTTGCTCTAAACACAAATGAACAGATAAACAAACTGAATAGTATCCTCTGCATCTTTGATGGGAATAAAATTTCAGATATATGTTACATCGTGTTCTTAACTTATCAGGTGGATGTGCTCACATTCCAATCCCGGATAAGTGCTTGTTAAGCCACCAATGCTCTATCCACTCGGTTGTTACGTTATGGTGATTACCAGTTGCTTGAAAAGTCTATTTAAGAACCTATATGCTATTAGAGACTAGTCAGTTTGCTTCTGAAAATCAAGAAGAAAAAACTGACTGGTTATATTATTTAATATACCAAACTGGTGTCACTAGTCCTCGAAGGTGCGTAATATCTTACATAACTAGTTAAGTTCTTTTCATAGGGTTTACTGATAACTGTAGTTCTAGTCTCAACATTTCAGGTCTTCCAATTTTCTCAAATGAAGGCAATAACCTGAGAGGCGTTCCGCTTTAAATACTTGTAACTTTTTCACGGTGTAATTTCGATGAAGCTTTGTTCTCTGAGATGAATAGTTTGGTCATGTAGCTTCTGAACGACCTCATCAACATAAAATTCAGGTAGAAGTGAAGTGTTCGAATTTCCCCACATCTGATTCGTAACTTGTCCTGTAGACCTCGATGTTGATTGATTCTTGTTGACATTAAACCTGTCGTTGTTTACTTTGTTTTGATTGTATCTCCCAAAGAACAGACTACTGTACTGTTTAGTTGAATATAATAATGAGTAAAATGGTTTCTTATAAAACGCTTTTAGTCCTATAGCAGTCCCTGTTTGTGAATTATTTTAATCAGAATCATAAAAATAACGGAGATTGAACGGTAGCTTAATTTACGTAGACTATTGTCGAAAACTCCTCTTCCTAGTTCATGTTAATTTGCCTGTCAGTTTTCATTAATTTCGTAAATAAGATATCCGAACTGTAATATGTTCCTGTATGCTCTAATTACACCATTCATCATTGATTACTGAATATCTTGTTCAGCCGACCTTAAACACTTTGATATATGTCGTTGTTGTAACAAACACTGTAAAAGAATTAATTCCATCCGTCGTTTTATCCATGTTCTTAAAAATCAGTCAATAGCACACGTGAAAGTAATACGACTTTTTAACTAAATAAATAATACTCTTCGAATATTCACTTTCTTGAGTTTGTAGAAAGTTAAAATGTAATATAATCTTATATTTTATATTTTGTTTTATCACTGATTATGATCAATTGTTGTTGTTATGTATATCAATGGATCATAAGTTTTAACAAATTCTTTAACAAAACAAATTTCTTATGAGTACTTGTTGATTTCTACTGATTTACTTTTTTATACATTTGGAATCCTAATGATGTTTTCGTTTCTGTGAACTTTGCGTTGTACTTCAGGAACTCATTGAGTGCCTTCAACGCATTGGGTTGATCACAAGATTAAAAACATTTGGAATTTCCTAATTATTAATTCTTTTCTGTTTATTTCAAGTTTGTAACATTCGACAGTTATAATAACATAAAATTCTTATATACATTAAATGAATTTTAATTAAATTTTAGAAATTTGTTGCAAGTGGATTTGTTGAACATTTAGACTTTTTGCCATATTGGACTGCTAAAGGTGAATATTTTCGTAGATTACATCAATTAGATACTGGACGTTCATATCAAAGTTTAGATAATTTACCTAAAGCAGTGAATATACCGTCGAAATCTTTAAATCGGTTTCAATCACATATGTCCGACGAGGAAATTATTCAAAGTATTCATGCTATAGATAGAAAAGTACGTTCTTCTTAACATTGACTTCAGTCTACATAGTCAAGTACTATAATTAGCACACATACTCAAGCTTTGAGTGAACAAACCTGTTATTGATTATATACATTGAATTTATGTATTTCTTGTTGTGTTTCGATAATTAACTGTCACACCTCTTATAAACTAGATTATAAAGTTGAATGTTTCAAACAAAATCTCCACATATCACTCACATAGATGATAATTGTGTGAATAGTAGTGAATAGCTTTCAGATCTAATTCTCAACGTTTTAAAGACCATCTATGAGAGTCCAACCATTTTGAGAATAAGATGATCGCATTTGTCGATCATCAAGCTATGTCGCAAATTGACTAAAATTGGTTGAAAAAGTAGACTATAGTTTGAGATTGTCGTGGTCACCACTAGTTCTAGCACCCGATATAGCAAAAGTTTAGTCTTCAGACATAACACGTGTAAATCTACATATAAACCTTCGATGGTAAGTAATATTCGGGTTTATAGGTTTAAGGTGATTACTTCTTGTCTATGTTGTATGTAATGTTGTAAAGAGTTTCAATATTCATTGAGATCTGGTGTTTCAAAAATACAAAATCTATAGCTTATAACTATCCTTACAGGGTAATTTCCCCAACAGCTAAGTCAGTAATAACAGCTTTCTCTTAATTTTAGTATTGATTCTTTTTAAATTTACATACTTGATTCTATTACTATTTTGCTCCTTCTGATGGAATATACCTTTTCGTTTTCTTTTCTCTCTGTTTAACTGTGTGGTCTGGATAAAAAACAACTTTATTTAGCTTTTACAAAAAGTAACTGATCAACAAGTAATTGAACAAGCTATCAAACCAGGTGATAGTCCATTAAATTTAGCTTATCGAATTGCTGCATTACATGAATTATTAAATCGACATGGTTTGGATCATGGTTTTTCAACTGATCAGCATTTTCTCATTGTACGTGATTGCCTCACGGAATTGTCACGAAAAGCCGGTATTCAACAGGCATGGTAAATTTCTACTCTTTTTTAAATCTTGAATTTATGATAACTGAAATTTAAGATTTTTCAAATCCTTTTTAACTATTATTTATTTTAATGGTTGAGATCATGAGTCAATCGAAGCTAGACCACTATGGAAGACCTGGAAGCACTGGACGGCCGTTTCGTCCTAGTATGGGCTTCGTCAGCAGTGCGCATCCACATCCAGTGCTTCCAGGTTTTCCATGGTGGTCTAGCTTCAATTGATTCATGATCTCAACTATTAAAATTACTATAATATCCACAAAATCCTTTCTGAAAGTAATAATAGTTCCTAATTTTGAGATGATTTATTGGCTGTCGTTTGACGTAGATCAGTGCTATTCAACTTATTATTAGATAAATATAAGAGAAAAAACAGATTGTTTGTGTTTATCAGTCATTATCGTCAATTAATGGCATCTATACTTTTGTTGATAACATCGTGTATTTTGATTTGTTATGTGCATTAATTTAAGCTTGATTAAACCATGTTTATCAAGTCACTAATAACTGAGCCAAAAGTTGCGTTTTTTTTCTGGAATCCCAAAACGGTTATAAATCCTCTTACATTTGAATATAATTACTGTTGTTAAAAACGTTCAATAGTCATAATATCTGTATCCTACATCTCTTGTCAACTGTTAATATCTAGTATTATAGTTTTGGTTTACTGTATGTTTTTTTTAATACAGTTACTTTTGAATGATTTGTTTATAAAGTATGTTTTAAATAAGATTTCTAACGTTATCCGTATTTTATTCTGTCAGCAAGAATATTCACCTTCACCACAACCAATACGATTATTATTTCAATCAGGAAAATAGCACATGTACATCTTTATAGCTTTAAGTTTCTATGTATTCTAATCATACTATAAAGTTTAACTGGAGTTTTGTTTCAATACTGAATATCCTTCTCATTGGACTATTGAGATAAATTATGACTGAGGTAAATAATGTCCATAGTATTGTGTTATTCATCAACTGGATGGTTCGATTACCAGCTTTTCACTGTCATTATGGTCATCATCACGTTAATCTGATTGAAGTAGAAGTGTGAGTTTTGTTCATAATTATTCCATAAGCGTTAAGTTAATCGATTCTTATGACTTTGTTCGTGACTGATTGTCATCATCATAGCTTTTATTATCTTTGCATTCGTATTGACCTCCGATCATATGGTTGATTGATCTCTCCTGTGTGGATTAATAACTTGAATCGATTATGTGATTGTTTATTGTTTGGAAATTGACCTAAATAGGATGTTTCTAAAAGTATTATCTAACATTAAAATTTCATCAATTCATCATATATAGTATTTATCATAAGTCTGTTTATTTGCTGTTGGAAACCACCAACTATTTAAAGGCTAACACTAGACTGTAATTCAATATCATTATGTAAGGCTTAGCAAACCGTTTATGTGGCTACTGTTATGACTTGTAACAGACTAAGTAACGTTTCTGAACTTCTAATCTGTTTGTGGTAAATTTTCTAACAGCTCACTTCATTGCAATTTACGTCTCTGTATGTTTTTCATACAGTAATGTTTTATGTATATTTTTGCATATAATACTGTATGTATGTAGTATTCATATTTATTTGAAGTAACTATTAAACCTGTTCTTGTCGTGACTAATTCACAATTCACCATAAGTTGTTGTATGCTCTTCGTTATTTTCAGGTGTGTAGTACGTTTATCTGCTGCTTTATTATCTCAATTCGCCAGTAGTTTAGCTCCGTCATTGTCAACTATTCTCGTCTGTGGCAAACAGCCTACTGTTGGCATTCCCCAAAGCTCAGAAGTTGTTATCAACAAACCTTTAAATCCAGATGAATTACATGCTTTATTACGTGAAGAAGTTTATTCATATGATCCGGTACAGTTTTCCTTACAACAAGAACTTATCCTATCTGTTAGTAGTTTATTGACTACAAATAAGGAGTTGTTTGATGGAATCAAATTTATACGCTTTGGGTGAGTAAATTAACATCTCGTAAATAGAGATTTGTATAATGGATATATATTTCCGACATATTTTCAAGCAGTATATATGTATATGTATTAAGTGTGGCGCATATATTTTTGGCGCACCCATGTACCAATATTTATGTGTTCAAATAAATAAATAATTAATATGTACTAAACAGACAGTCAAAAGGCAATGTAGCCTTTAGTGATAGACAGTAGTGGAACACTTTTAGTCATGATCAAAAGATTATATCTTAGTTTAGTCAGTTATGGACTTGAGACAAATGTGTATCGTTCAAGTTATCATCTCCTACATCACCACAAATTAATAAGACATAAATAAACTGTTATCATCCCAAGTGGAAATATTAATATTAGGAAGTATATTGTTCAAAACAAAAACAGAAGATCAGAGAATTAAAAAGTATGAAATTTGATGAAGCTCTAAATCAATGGGAAAATAAATAATAAATACCGATACGTTAATTGGATCAACTTTGAACTATTTTATTTTCTATGGTCTACAATCACTATCTACAGTTACTGTGCTCATTCATATTTGATATTTGTTTGCTGTGATGAACGGAAATAAATTAATTTGTAATCAGTTGTTTCTTTTCTTCAATTAGACGAATCTGAATAAACTGAAGGATCTACATAGATATATGAAGTTCTATTAAAGTGAATCATTTTGACTTATCATATTTCACAATAAAAATAAAAGTGAAAATTCATAAAAATGAAGTGATGTAATCACGATGAGTATAAGAGAGAAAAAGAGGAAAGAAGAGACATTTTCTGCTGGATATTGCAATGTAGAATTCTTAGCAAAAAGTGTCTCAACAAGTTTCGTTTACAAAAAAAAGGAAAAATAAAGTGAAAGAAACTGATAACTGGATACATAAATGCATAAGTAGATAAATTACTTGGAATTAAATGAAGTGTTTTTTTAAGAAGATTTGGATCTGTACAATATTTTATTTAGAAACATGTTTAAGAATACAAGTTGTTGAGTAGATCAGCTCTAACTATCTGTTCGTCATAACGTGCAGTTGCTAGATAATTTATTGTAGAGATTTTATATCTTTTTTTGTATGCATGGATTCTAATGTATTGACATCTCGTTCTACCAAAAGATATACAAGAAAAAAGATATAAATGAAGTGGATGATTAGTATTTGATAAGATAACACCTGACAGCAATTTACAAGATGTCTGTCCATAACCATATTAATCATTACCTCAAAAAATTCACCACACACCTTGCTAACTGCCTTCACCACTCTCCGCAGTACAGCAAATCCTTTCCCAAAAGCATGCAGCCTCTTTATGTAGTAAGTCAGACGGAAAACTTTCTTCAGCAAAAATAAAGTGTAAGAAAGCCAAGAGAGGTCAGATGAAAAACTTACATCATGGTAAATGACTTTTGATACTATGTTTATCAAGGAATCTCCAATAATGCAAACATTTTAGGATTCCAACTGTGTGTTTAGGTGTTCTTTATGTCTCAGGCTAAAGTTAATCGTTTGAAATTTAGACAGGTTGTGAGACCATTAACAACAAACCACCGTTTAATACGAGACGAGAACTCATTCGATTCAAGAGGATGTAAGGATGTAGAAATCGACATACAGACAGTGAGATCGTCCGCGTACACACAAAAGTATTTTCTGTGGAAGATGGGGGATCATACCGAAATAAAAGAGAAGAAGAGGGGAAAGAACAGTTTCTTGTGGCACACAGTGGGATAATATAAACGTCGAACACTTTCCTCCAAACACAGTGTACTGTTCTCTTCCAGAGAGGTAGGAACATAGGTGGTTGGTGATCCGGCTGTCGCTGTTGACACTGATTAATTTTTTAAGTAGAAGTCGTCTTGGAATGGAGTCAAATGCAGAAGTACGGTCCGTAAAAGCGCATAGAACATATTTCTTACCCTTTCCCAAGCTGCACATTATATTATGCAGAACAATAGCAGCACCCAAGGTGCTCTAGCATTTGTAAGCAAACTGATATGGATCAATGTGCTCTATTAGTGCAGGCTGAAGTGGGAGTGGCAATAATATATTCATCGTTTTGAAAAAAGGTGAAGTTATTACTATGGGTCGAAATTTCACATTCTTATCGCCAAACTTTTTCTTATGCATTGGGATTATCTTTATCTTTCTCCACATTTTTAGCATGAGATCAGTTGAGAAGGATCTGTTAAAACTGCTCGTGAATAGATAACATAGAAGTATTTAACTTTAATGATTCATAATTAATAAACTTAGTAAACGTTTACCTTCCCATTTTTAGTTGGTTATTGGAGGCAATGAAATTGAAACTTGAACTAGAAATATGTTTAGGTGTAGGTGAAGATTCTTATCATCATCAACATCAACAACAACAACAACAACAACATCACGATGGTGGATTTTGCAAATCTAGGTCCGTCTATGAATCTGTATTAAAATCATTGACAAATTTAGAAATACATCCACGTAGTTTAGGTGCATGTCATTTGTATAGTTTGCCTCCATGTCAAGTTAAAAGTTTATTATTACGTACATTGAAAGCTGGTCAAGAAGGAAAAACTCAATATTCACTTGATAATTCTGTGGATTCCACAACAACATTTACCCCAACTACAACTGGTTGTACTACTACACCTACTGCTGTTAGTTTTAATTCTACTAAACCGACCGCAAATAATACTCGAGAATTATCAGTTATCACTGAATGTGGACCAACAAGTAAGAAATATTGAGTGGTTGTTTATATACTCTTGTGTTGGTTTTTTCATATGAAAAATTTAAAGTATAATTCTTACCATTTTACTGTTTACTAATTAGTATAGTAAATCCTATGCATAGGTGAATTATATCGTAGACATCAATAACTGAATGTAAAAAAACTAAGATCAGAATGCTCTCCATATATAATGAAATGACAAAAATTTGAAAATGTAGAAGCTAGGGAGTTTCGTGATCTTTATCAGTCAATCCGGGAAGTCGTTACGGATCGACGGTTGTTGGTACAACATAACCACCTTTTATTATAGAGTTTTATGTCGTATACTGCTTACGTTTTTGTTTAATTGATTGAATCCTAGCGTCGACAAAAATATCCATTTTGAAAATTGACGTAAAAGTGAGCAAACCATCGAAACCATTATTTATAGATCTTAACTGTTATTGATTGACTTTCTCCACCGTGTCGAAATTCGTTTCTGGACATCAGCATCACTAATACAGTGTTACTATTTTATGTGAACAATCCTTTGTAGATAGTGATTATAGAGCGTAAATGTTTCTTAAATGTCTTTCAAGAGGTCCCATCAAATTTGTTTCTGTCCAACTACTATGTTAAGTATTTTTTGGCTTAACTGGACCAATATAAGAATGACCAGAAAAACAATAGACAATCAGTTTTTTTAAAAACTATTTATTCAGTGTTCTTTGAACCACTTTTGAGACCTAATCATCTCTCTAAGAATTTACCTATTTTGAGTTACGTACATGGCTGATACGCAGATATTTTTATTCATAACAATTCTTCTCGTGTCTATAGTTATTAATCCCGGTTAAGTATTAAATTTTGCATAAGAAAAAGAGAATTTAGCAAAGAAAATTTTCTTCTCGACGAAATCATTTACTTAAGCTGTACATTCATATTTATAGGTATATGGAAAATGTATGTCTATATGAGGATAGAAAAGATTGCATCACCAAAATGGATTCGAGAATAAATAACAAATGAGGTTACGTACCAATTAAGGGGTAAGGAAGAAAATAATTTATGGGTCAGATAATAGTGCAATCGACAGATGTGAAGATTAGCGACAAACACAGTGGTCATAATGATAGACTGAATAATAATCAACGGCCGTCCATTGCTTACAGGTTTTCAATGGTGGTCTAATATCAATCGGTTCATGATCTCAATCGAAACGTAACAATCTCCACAACCCCTAGACTGATAATCGGACTATTATCTGACCCATAGATTATTTTCCACCTTACTCCTTGATTAGTACGTAACCTCATTTGTTATTTATTCTCGAATCCATTTTGGTGATGCAATCTTTTCTATCCTCCTATAGACATACATTTTCCATATACCTATAAATACGAATGTACAGCTTAAGTAAATGATTTCGTCGAGAAAAAAATTTTCTTTGCTGAATTCTCTTTTTCTTATTGGATTTTGCATTTAACTCAAATATTTGCACGTAAAAGAATCCATAATAGAAAAAATTAGTTGTATTTTTAATTTAGTTAAATTCTCACTGGTGATTTAATAATTTTAGAGATTTGAGGTTTCCTTTTGTTTACACATTGTTAGTTACTATATACTCAGCTTGCTCTAGATAGTATTCCATTGAAAATATGTTTTCTTTAATTATTGGTATTCTATATCAAGAGGATGTTTCGGAATATATTCATCGGGCTCGTCGTACTCGTTTGCGTCGCAATATTCATCATGATAAGCGTTCTCGTAATTCAAGTGTATTTTCGTCTGCAGAACTTTTAGATATACCAAAAGCATTGTTTCAACGTCAATTGGATGGGTGTTTAGGCGTAGTACCTCCAACATTTTATCAAGGTGTTTATTTTATTCTTGAACGATCTCCTCATGGTATATTGATTTATGGTAAACTTCTTCCACAGGTAAATAAACTAGTCTTTTTTGGAGCTTTTCCTTCGTTTTCGTCTCATTGTTTGTACAACCAGGTTGCATGTTTTACGTTTGAAAAAAGTGATACGTTTTGCATTCAGTAACGTGTATTTCCATAATCACATAGATACTGATTATTTTTTGAGTGTTAAGCTTGTGTGATGTAGCACCTCAGTCAAATATGTGGCCATCGATGTCAGAAACTTAAAGTAAACATCATTTTCCTTTGGTTTATGTACAATTTAAGTTCGTGATATAATTCATATGAATTCTTTTCAGTCACCCTCATATGATCAACTGGTTTAATACAATATTAGATGCATTTCACTAAACAATATAAATCCACAATAAATACACTTAATCCCTCCACTAGATTTTCTCTTTCCCTGAGACTCATTATTGTTAGAAAACAAGACCTAACTTGTAACTTCAAAGAATTATTATTTGGCATATATATAATTATTTTAAAGTTTCTAAAAATAGTTTTAATATTATTGCTGGTCTTAATTTTATCTTTAAAGAAACCTATTTTAACTGATATGACGCCGTATGATCTCAACTTTGTTGATGAAGTTGAATGTCTTCTAAGAGCAATATGTGATCCTGCTTATCGGTCATTGGTTGTTGAGACAATGATGGTCATCGCAGTTATATTACAAAGAAACACTGAATTATCATTTGATGAGGTAGTCGATATTAAACTCATTATTATGGATGCAATAAACGCTTTTAAGCGTGACCGTCATACTAACATGTAAGTTATTCTTCACTTCTTTGTTTAAATGTTTTATTCAATGTGCAATTCCTCACACTTTTAAAAGTTAATCTTAAGTGATTACAGAGGAAAAAGTGTTTTTTAACAAATAGTTCAATAGTAAAATGTAACAGTGAATCACGGTTTAAAATATTTCATTTGCTTATCTTAAGGAATATTTATCTTTTTATTGTTCCTATGACACGTCAATTGTTTTACTAGTTATATATTTACTATACATCATGTAACTTAAAATATCTTGCTTTTCTATGCTAACATCTATTCGAACTAAGCTTTTTCAGACCCGAACGTGTAATGTTGAAACTACTTGAATTTCAACATCGGAAATTATTTCCAATATAATTTTTGCATATAATGCGCAAGTTAATATGCAATAGAAATTTTGACTTGAATACTACACTTACCATTAATAATACAGATGTTGAGGGAAAGCTGTAGTTAGAATATTGATAATTTTATCTTTAGTCTGTCAGTGTATTTCAGACAGTATTAGAACACGGGGAATCGTACGACACTTGATAGATAATGGTGTTGTTTTATCAATCACTAACTTGCAATAAAGTGGTTACAATGAAGTTATTCAGTCCTTCTTATGTGAATTTTAATTTTCAACCTTAACATCTAGTTAGCATTGTAAAACAATACAAGTGCTAAGAACATACAGCACTAATCATACTGTCATGTGTACATTTAAGTTGAGGGTACTTTCCAAATAATCAAATGAGAATTAAACTACGACAGTAAAAATCAGCGTGGAGCAGATAGCTGTATCATTTGGGGACTATTAACAATTTATGAAGCACAAGCTAAGAGAAATCAAACTAGTTGTTTAAAGCGAAAAAAACTTCAAATGTTAGTTTGACCAAGGAAAACTATATTTTTAAGTGATCATGAAAGTGTTACAAGCAAAGAACTGAACTAAAATATCGAATTAGGAGTATAAGTATAACAGAAACAATGCGCTATAGAATATACGTCATAAAAATTGTTTGGCACACTCAGACTAGTGTATCGTCATAAAGTAGTGTAAATGACATACACAAAACGACAAGGTGATAAGAAATGATTTGCAAAATAATTTAACATCCATTGTGGCAATGAAACCTTAGCAACGTGTTCAGCATACCTATATAATCTTTATATTTGTACTTCTTCAAGTACTTAATTAGTTGTATGGATACACAAGTCAATGACTTGTGGATATCTGCAGGCACTCCGCTAAAATATCTACGATATTTGTATAGGTCAAATCATCCCATATGATTTATTTATGATTTTTTTGTAATCTTTCACTTATTATGTGATGTTTGGCAATTTTTCTTTGGTAATCCATAACTTCGATTTTAAGTTCCCATTTCTTTTCTATAAACAGAACGATTTATTTTCTTTTATATTAGCTCCGTTGTTTATGTGTGTATATTATATAATTCTATTTATGTTCAGTGATTCCTAAAATTAACTTTCTATCTTTTTTTTACAACAACCTGTCCTATAATTTTTAGGTAAAAATATTAATTTACATGATTAAATTATTTAACAGAAAGATTTTAGTGAGAGTTAAGTATGATGATGCACATGGGCTCCAGTATCCTGAGGGGAAAAATGGCGTATGAACCAATCATTGATCAGCGGCTACCATGGGACTGCATCTCCTTACGATGCTCCACTGCCCTGTGGATCAGACCTTTAGGTCAAAGGCTCAGGATGTGACCCCTAAGAAAACCACCTGTTTCGGTTTGGGCACCCAAGCAGTATCACAGCCCTCACACAAATTTAATAAGATGACAAACATTTCACAAAATACTATGCTCGCTTCGATTTCTTGTCTACAAATTAAAATCGATTTATAAAAACAACAAAGAGAAGAATAATCTCTGTCTATAAAGAGAATAATAATAGTTTTATAAGTTAATTTATTGCTTCTTCTAGCTATCAGTTAGGTTTATTTTACCAAATGGGGTTGTTTTAGTATTTTCTGTTTTTTTTTGAGTTAGCAAAATTACTCTTATTCATTTACAAATTACGTAGAACCTAGCATAAAATCTGATCTGCTGAAATCTCCAAATCATTTCAACACAATGAAATGTAATTAACAAGATGCTCAGAGAAGGAATTCAAGTAAAAATAGTGTGTGTCATTGAAAGGAGGACAAAACACAAAGAATATGGTTTACATTTGTCTTTATGGATTGGAGAAACAGTTTATTTAATGATAGATATGGACGGGTCTTTGACTGATTGATTTTTTGTCTATTTCCTATTAGGTAGAAAGTGATTATTTCTCAAATTAACGGTTCTTCACTAAATTCGAGGTTTTTTAAAATCTAATTTTGGAAATTATAAGAAATATGGAGCAGCATTGTGTGACTTTAAATTCGTGATAAGCAAACACTGTCCACAGCTCCATAATTTTTATTCTGTTGTATAATCCAATCTATCCGTTGGTATATTTCACTTCTACAAATTTTCCTCACTTCAAATGATCTCACTATAACATTTTTGACTGAGACGCAATGAAATGAGTTTTGATCTTGTAGAGAGTAATATTTCCCTCGTAAAATTACAGATACGTTTTCTTGATAAGTGTCAGTTAATTCGACATCAGGGCTTCTAGTCAGTCAAAAGTGCAAAAGCATTATTTTGTGTTTAGTCACTATCATATTGTTATGACTAGTCTCCAATTGTTATGTCTGGTCGTCGCTGGTTATTATGTCGGAATCGCTTACTACTTATACTTATAAAACGTGTAACCACTGCAATTCCCACGACGCGAACTAAGAACACTAAGACTTGTACAATTGAAGATTTATTAACCCCAAAATACATTCATTATGTATTGATTGCACACCCATTTCGATAAGTAATGAGAATAAAACCATATATATGAGAAATACTCAAAGTTGTTACAAGTCACATGCTGCATATCATACTGAGCATAGTTCATGTTAATTTAATACAAGGAATATTGTATCTTGAACAAACACATCACACTCAAATAAATTAATGTTTTAGTGAATAAAAGATCACACTGATAAAGAAAACAAATACTACACTGAATAGTCACCATATTCAACTTTGCAAAAAGCGGAAGTAATATTAAACGGAAATCGCAATGAGTAAAAGTATATAATTTTGCTTTCTAATCCCATTATATCATATATATTTTTTCTTCTGTACAATTTGAATATTTCTTGTCTTTATTAATTCACCTGGATTGCACACGTGTGTTTGTTTGCTGTTTTATGTAGTTAACGGTTTTAATCATGGATTGTTTATCGTTTTTATGCACAGCAGAAGAAATAGAGTTGTACGCTGTCAAATTCTAAATTAAACGTGTAAAATATTCTTACTTTTATGCGGTACCTGTTAACAGTTTCTGTGAGAATCGACTGTTTTGAGCAGATAGTGTTTCAATAATTTGGTTCGTATTGCTAATTCCCTGTAATATTGCTGTCTGTTAAGCATCAATAGATTATAGTTTTTTTGATTTATTACCTTTCATTTTTAAAATACCATTTTCTCTCTTAGTTGTTCAGTTCATTTCTATTTTTCTAATATTTTATTTAGGTCTACTGATAACGTCCTTCACCATTTAGAGAGACGTTTGTCATGGTCTGAACCAGATATGCTATCTTCCTTTGAACTACCCATTTATCTGGAATTTGCATCAACTCCGGCGAATGCCACCATGGGAACTACTTCTTATATCGCGAAGTCCGTGCTTGATAGACTATTAAAGGGACCTATGGATCTTACTAGCGTTACTAAAGATGCTTGTTGTGCAATGTGATTTATTGTATGAATTCTAAGAGGAAATTAATTTTATGGTATGTTTATAGCATTTTACTTCATGTAAGTCATCATAGATCTCCCCTCAGCAGGTATTTGTAAAACATCCTTTTAGTATTTAAGCAACCTTATAGTGTGACCGTTATTAGCGTTATTATTTTCATTTTTTCTGCTTATTCCTCTCCTCAGTTACTTACATGTTTTATAGTAATACCTCATGAATTGTCATGATTTCACCTATAAATTACATTTCACCGGATGATATTTTTTTCGAATCAGGGGTATCATTGATGGAAATGTCTTTACGAAGTTTGAAAGACTACTGTTACTGTTATCACTTGACAGGAATCACGTGATTATGACTAGCGCTCGACTGATTTGGCAGTCAGTTGCGTAGTGTTTGAATGGACAGATTTATATTCTAGTTAGCGAATTTATTCTGCACAGGATTTCATGTTTAGTGTCTTTACGAGCGATAAAAAGGAGATTTTGAACTCTAGTGTTTACTTGTTGACACTTATTAACAAAGCGTATTTATTGTTGTGAAATAAATAATGTTGATTCTGAAGGTATGAGTTATATCATTTTAATTCACCAATGAGGGCTTGGTTGTTGAATCACCTGACTGTCACCTATAGTTTTGGAGACGTGGATCCTACTTCGGTTTGGGAAACCAGATAATTCTCTTAGACAAAACTTTACGCTTGAAACTGAGTATATTAACTGGCACTCGATCACTGCGTCGCACTCATTAGTGATGTCAATAGTTAGTAATGATTCACTGACAGCTAGATTATATTGTGTTTCTGTCATAACTTGTAACCGTCTATTAGAGAGCAGTGAATTATCGATCGGACCAAGGACGCGTAAAACATGTGCGAGCAGCCTAGAGTCCTGATTGATCCTGCATTCCGCCTAGCCCAGCCAGTTAAGTCCAGAACGCCAATCTCAGCATCCGCAGTATGAATCATCATATTTCAAACATTACTTACTTACTTACGCCTGTTACTCCCAATGGGGCATAGGCCGCTGACCAGCATTCTCCAACCCACTCTGTCCTGGGCCTTCTTTTCTAGTTCCATCCAATTCTTGTTCATTTTTCTCATGTCTATCTCCAATTCTCGGCGTAATGTGTTCTTTGGTCTTCCTTTTCTCCTTTGGCCTTGAGGATTCCATGTGAGGGCTTGTCTTGTGACGCAGTTGGGTGCTTTCCTCAATGTGTGTCCTATCCACTTCCAGCGCTTCTTCCTGATTTCTTCCTCTGCTGGGATCTGGTTTGTTCTCTCCCACAGTACGTTGTTGCTAATAGTGTCCGGCCAATGGATCTGAAGTATTTTGCGTAAACAACTGTTAATAAACACCTGTATTTTCTGGATGATGGCTTTTGTAGTTCTCCAGGTTTCTGCCCCATACAGTAGAACTGTCTTGACATTTGTATTGAAAATCCTGACCTTGGTGTTGGTTGACAGTTGCTTTGAGTTCCAGATGTTCCTCAGTTGTAAATATGCTGCTCTTGCTTTGCCGATCCGCGCCTTCACATCTGCATCAGATCCACCCTGTTCATCAATGATGCTGCCCAAATATGTAAAGGTTTTAACATCTTCCAAATCTTCTCCGTCAATTGTGATTGGATTGGTGCATGCTGTGTTGTATCGGAGAATCCTGCTTTTCCCTTTGTGTATGTTGAGACCTACTGCTGCTGAGGCTGCTGCCACACTGTTTGTCTTCTCCTGCATCTGCTGTTGCGTTTGGGATAGAAGGGCCAGATCGTCTGCGAAGTCCAGATCATCCAACTGCATCTTAGATGTCCATTGTATCCCGCGCTTCCCTTCAGACGTTGACGTCTTCATGATCCAGTCGATCACCAGGAGAAAGAGAAAGGGTGAGAGTAAGCAACCTTGCCTAACACCGGTCTTCACTTCGAATGACTTTGTCAACTGTCCTCCATGCACAATTTTGCAGTTTAATCCATCATATGAGTTCTGTATGATATTGACTATTTTCTGAGGCACGCCGTAGTGTCGAAGAAGTTTCCATAGTGTTGTTCTGTCCACGCTGTCAAATGCCTTTTCGTAGTCAATGAAGTTGATGTAGAGTGATGAATTCCATTCAATTGATTGTTCCACAATTATCCGTAGAGTTGCGATTTGGTCTGTACACGATCTATCCTTACGGAATCCTGCCTGTTGGTCTCGAAGTTGGGCGTCTACGCAGTCCTTCATCCTGTTTAACAATACCCTGTTGAAGACTTTTCCCGGTATTGAGAGAAGAGTGATGCCCCTGTAGTTATCACACTTGCTGAGATCGCCTTTCTTCGGTATTTTGATTAGAAGTCCTTCTTTCCAGTCTGTTGGTACTTGTTCCTCATCCCAAATCTTATTGAAGAGAATGTGGAGTATCCTTGCAGTTGCCGCTACGTCTGCTTTTAGTGCCCCAGCTGGGATGTTGTCCGGTCCTGCTGCTTTGCCACTCTTGATTTGTCTGATGGCCATGCTGATTTCTTCAATTGTTGGTGGGCCAACATTGATTGGGAGGTCCGTGGGTGCTGCTTCGATGTTGGGTGGGTTCAGTGGAGCTGGTCGATTCAAGAGTTCTTTGAAGTGTTCTACCCACCTGTTTTGTTGCTCTTCAATGTTGGTGATTACCTCACCTTCCTTGCTTTTCACTGGTCGTTCTGGTTTGCGGCGATTTCCAGAGAGTTTCTTTGTCGTGTCATACAATTGTCTCATGTTTCCTTCTCTTGCAGCCTTTTCCGCCGTCGTTGCTATATGTTCCACATATTTACGTTTGTCGGTTCTGATGCTCCTCTTCACTTGTTTGTTTATTTCCGTGTATTCAGCTTGCGCCCTGGCTTTTTCTGCTCTTGTTCGACTGGTATTGATTGCTGCCTTCTTGTTCCTTCTTTCTTGAATCTTATCTAGTGTACCAACAGTGATCCATTCCTTGTGATGGTGCTTCTTGTGACCCAGGACCTTATGACATGTTGAAGTGATTGCCCCTTTGATCCCCTTCCAGTTGCTCTCCATAGTAGTTCCTTCTCCATTGAGTAGATCATGAAAGGCCTGGAACTTGTTGCTGAGGACTATCTTGAATTTGTTGAGTTTGTTAGTATCCTGGAGAAAGGCCGTATTGAACTTTTGTGATACTGTCTGCCCCGTTGTCCAGTGCTTCTTGAGTTTCAATTTCATCTTGGCGACCAGTAAGTGATGATCTGATGCTATATCAGCTCCTCTCTTGGTTCTCACGTCCTCTATAGTCCTCCTGAACGTTTTGTTGATGCAAATATGGTCGATTTGGTTTTGTGTAGAGTGATCCGGTGAAGTCCATGTGGTTTTGTGTATGCGTTTATGTGGGAATACGGTGCCGCCTATGACCAGCTTATTGAAGGCACATAGATTTGCAAATCTCTCACCATTTTCGTTTCTTTCTCCTAGTCCGTGTCGTCCCATGATGTCTTCATATCCAGTGTTGTCCGTTCCAACCTTGGCGTTGAAATCTCCCATCAGAATGGTCAGGTCCTTTGTTGGGCACTTCTCGACGATTGACTGCAGCCTATTGTAGAATTGATCTTTAGCGTCTTCATTATAGTCGTTGGTAGGCGCATAGCATTGGATGATGTTCATTGAAATGCCCTCTTTCTTTGTTTTGAAGGAGGCTTTGATGATCCTTGGTCCATGAGATTCCCATCCTATAAGCGCATTTTGCGCTTGTTTGGACAGCATCAATGCAACTCCTTGTGTATGTGGTGCATTTTCTTCTTCATGGCCGGAGTATAACAGGAGCTCTCCTGTAGTTAGTCGTTGTTGTCCAACTTGTGTCCAATGTGTTTCACTGATCCCAAGTACCTCTAGGTTGTATCTTCTCATTTCTGCAGCAATCTGGAAGGCTCTTCCGGTGTCCCACATTGTACGAACATTCCATGTACCTAAATAAATGGTTGCTCTGGTTGTCAGAAGGGGCATCGGCCTTGTAACTTCCGAAGGAATTCGGCTTTCATCATGAGGCGTCATAATTCTTCTAAGTGAAGACCTTCTGACTCCCAGGGCAGAGTTTAAAAGGTTTGAATAATTTTTTCTGGTTAGCGTTTTTTTAGCGAGTTAGTTTTCTACGGGATGGGGACGCTAACCCCATGCCCAACCCTCCTCCTTTATCCGGGCTTGGGACCGGCAGCAGCCCCCGGAGGGACTCCAGGCGGAGTTATTTCAAACATACTGAGTTTATATACCAATCAAACAGACCACAACGTACCAATAAAATATGAAAAACTTTTGTATAAGAATTAGCCAGATGTGGCTGTGAATGAGGGAGGCAGTGACTAATAGACAGGGAATAATTCAGGAATGGAAAATCGTATAATAACAGTTTATAGGTTAAAATAAAGCTTAGTTTAAGAGAGACATGAATATGAATAGTTTAATTAATTAACAATTATACGGTAAAAATATACGTATAGTATTGGTCCACAAATGGATCCCGAAAATTACTACTCTTTATTCCTATCGGGACATAACAGTTTCTTATTGGTTAGTGTTACGACGAACTACACTGCAAGGTGGTGCGTGGAGGACAGCTGACAGACACACTCCAAGTGAGGACCGGAGTCAGATAAGGCTGCTTACTCTCCTTTATCTTCTGGTGGTTGACTGGATTATGAAGGCCTCTACATCCGATGGTAAGCACGGAATACAATAGCAGCTTGGATGCAACTGGATAATGTGTATTTTTCAGATGACTTAGCTCCTATATCTCATACACACCAACAGATGTAGATGAAGACAATTAGAGTAGCGGAAACCTCTGCATTAGCAGGCCTAAATATACACAAAGGAAAAAGCAAGATCCTCAAATATAACACTAAAAATACCATCTCAATCACACTTCATGAAGGAACTCTGGAAAATGTAGAAGCGTTCTTGTATCTGGACAGCATCATCGATGAACAAGGATAATCTGAAGCAGATGGGTAGGCAAGGATAGCATTCGTATGTTTGAAGAAAATATGGAACTCAAAACAGCTGTCAGCCAATATCAAAGTCAGGATCTTCAATACTAAAGTTGAGACAGTTCTAATCTACGGAGCTGAAGCTTGGTAAACTACTACAACCATCATCAGATGATACAAGTGTTTATAAACCATTGTCTACACAAGATGCCGAATGTTCGTTGGCGGGTTACCATCAACAACAACCTGCTGTGATAAAGAACAAACCAGATTCGAGCTGAAGGAGGAATTAGGAAACAACACTGGGGGATAGGACATACATTGTGGAAATCACCACACTGCATCACGAGACAAGCGCCAACTTGAAATCTTGAGGAGAGAAGAAGATCAAAGAACACCGCACTGAGTGTTGATAGCAAACATCAAAAGAATGCGTAGCTACTGGAGAGGAGTTCCCATGATAGAGTTCGATGGGGGACCCTAGTGTGAGGCCTATGCTCTTTCACGAGAGGTAACAAGTATAAATAGGTAATGCGTTTTTCAAATACCGTTTCGATCGATCTAGACGTTTTTTCACCGGTGGCTTTTTTGGTATGTGCTACTGATATCGACATACATAAGTAT